ATGTCGGATAACCTTTACTTTAACAAAAATGCCCTTTACAACTTAACATTTTAAGTTTTTAATTTGTCTTTATGTAATGGGTTGAGTTTCTAATTTGTCCTTAATGTTAAAAAGTTTATTATATTATTGTTATTAATTTTCCTAATAATGTGTTGTAAATTTTATGTTAATTAAAAATATATAGAAATAATTAGTACAAGTTATTGTGTAATTGCTCCAAAAATTATCATTTAACATATTTTTAATACGAAAGAGTCTTTTATATTATGATAATTCGCTTATGTATAATATTGAACGAGTTGATATAATATTTACCGATATATTAAATCATCTTTATAAAAGAAAACATGTGAATCGCATGCAAAAAACAAATAATTATGTAATTAAAGAAAACATGTAATTTTTTTAATTACATGCTTAAGAGACTAATTAACAATTACTTAAATATAATTATTTATTTTTATTTGCACGCTTAAGAGGCTAATTAGCAATTGCTTAAATATAATTATTATTTTTTAATTATATTCTTAAGAGACTAATTAACAATTACTTAAATATAATTATTATTTTTAATTACATGCTTAAGATATTAATTAACAATTACATACTAACTTATACTAATTAACAAAAAATTACTAAAGTGTAACAAATTATTAGGAAAAATATTGATAATAATATAATGGATTTCTTAGCATTAAGGATAAATTGAAAACTCAACCAATTATATAAGAACATATTGAAAACTTAACATGTTAAACTACAGAGAGTATTTTTGTCCAAAAAAAAAAAAAGGTCATGTGTAGTTAATGTGATATTTTCAAGTGGTTTGATAAAAAAAAAAATTGATTGGAATTGAAAATCAATTCAAATAATAAAGATAGATTAGAAGAGTTATAAAATTTAAGAACATTTTGAAAAAATAATCTATTACATAACGATAAGTGAACATATTAACTCTAAAAATTTGTTACCTAGCACCTAACTAGCATTGCATTAAGAGATTATTTCATTAGTTAATTGAAAGTAGAGAAAACCTAATCTTTGATTCCTAAATCCTCGCAAGTTTCTTTGATTGTGTGATTTTACCATTATATAGATTTGATGGTTTAATCATAAGGTCACCATAAAATATTTGATCGCTTCTTAATCTTCTTTATATTATTTTCTCAAATATAGATTTTTGGTTGATGTTCTACGATCTTTTTTATTTTATTTTCTCAGATATAGATTTAGCAGTTGCCATTGAATTTGGTTATAGTCAATACTGTTGTGTCTGAGATATAGCCTCGTGGTAAGTTTGCTTATGCATAAAAATTCCTTAATTATTGAGTCTCTGTTTCGTCGTACAATGGTTTCGTCCCCCTTTTCTCATTTTTGGCTAGGAGTTTATTATTTGTTAAAAACAAATAAAGAAAACCAGGAGTTTTATTAATGAATTTTGAATTGTAAAGAAAAAACCGGTAATCTTAATAATAAATAGATTATTGTAGTGTAAAATAGCGAATGGGTAGCTTGTTTTTCTTGGTAGAGAAAGTTTGATAGGAAACAAAAAATGATTACGCCAGCTGGAAAAGGTTTTTTTCTTCTGTCACTAATGTGGCCCAATTTACCCTAAAAGTTATTGTCATTTTTATTTACCACGCGGCAGCTCCTCAGATCACAGATGCTCGTGGCAGGAAAGAAATTTGATGATCCCCTTAGAAGCTACAGATTCTCTTTTGATGAATAGAGCAACATGTTCCATTTCTTCGTAAAGAAATTGATGTTTATGTATTTTTCAGTCTTGGGACTTCTCAGTGGAGCTGTCTTCCCAATCCAATGAAATATGATTAATGTAGCCTCTCCAGGTCAAGAAAGTGGAGAGCTTTCACTTTCAAGGTTTCCTCCTGAATGATTACTTCGGTCATGTGATCTCCAACGTGTGAAGCACTTGGCTTAGTGGTGTGCAAGTGACAGGTTTATGCTGGGCTTAGCATTAACTACTAAGTTGGTTTGGTGATGAATAAATTAATGAGGGGAATCGAGAATTATCGTTTGCTATACGGATTCTTGAAAACCGGGGAATGTGATATATTATACCATGTCCGGAGATGCGATTCTCTTCATTTTGCACGGAAAAAGTGATCTTTTTTTTTTTTTTTCCAGAGAAAATTGACCATTTAGGAATCTTTAAGGATAACTAAGGTGAAATTTCAAAATACACAACATTCTGTGCCAGAAGATGAAGCCTGCCGCTAATTTACTACAAGGTCTTACTTGGCGTATTTGGAATGGCTGTATACTGCACAGTAAAAGATATAATTTTAAATAATAATTGTTATATCATATAACACTTTTGAAGTATAACACTATCGTTATTTTAGTATTATAGTAAGTTATGATACATAATAACAACCACGATCATTTTTTTAATTATTCGTAATTTAAAACTATGATAAAAGCTCTTATTTGGACAGAAAAGGATAGAAGAACATGGTCATGTCCATGTGTACACATTGCTGAGATGTTGGTTTCTCATTAGTAAAAAATTATATGCTGGGACACATAAATGTGATGCTTAGGATCCAAATTTTTTATAACAGTCAGACATTAGGCATCTGTGCAATGGGAGCACGCACACGAGAAATTTTTTAAAGAAATTTACGGGCTCTGCATATATTTACCTTTTTTTTGTTGGTTTTCCTCACTAGTTAAAACAAAAGGATGCTGGACTGGTAGGACCATTTGGGCCAATCCTAAGCCCCTGTAAGTTGTAACCTGCACTGCTTCTGTGGTTGATATCCATAGAACTGGGCTTAGTGATAGTGGGCTTTGTAGTTGAGGCCTCATCAATTTCAGTAGCCACTTTCCAGCCCCCACCACCTCGTCCCTGGGCGAAGCCTATAATTGATCAATTGCTAAATAAAATTTCCACTTACAGATATCTGCATTTTATTGTAACATTTACGTGATCAATTTAAATTTAGATTGTAGCGGCTTGTGATAAACTTGTAACAGTTAATCTGATCCCAACTTCCTCAAATATTGCACTTACAGATGTTCGTGAGGATTGATGTTATCTACCTAGTCCAAGTTGCCAGTGCGAGAATATAAATTAGGATTGTGTAGCTACTGCAGTTTGTATTGCCTATGATTTGCTAGAGCGTTAAGGGGTGTTCTCATTTACAAATGCAGGTTTTTCTTCTTTGGTTTCTTTTTTTGGTTTTCTCCCTTCCAGAAATGCACTTTGTCTTTTAATCTAATTCCTCATAAGACATGATCACTATCCCTTCCATTTGTCCTCAAACATCGTTCATCCACTATCTTTATCTCTGTTCCCTCGTATGTGGTTCCCACTTTAGTTTTGGTAAGCAAGTATATTATGACCATTGAACCTTTAAGGTAACTTTTATAACCCACTCACTTAGGTTTTCGTTCAGTCACTTCTGCCTTTCAGTGTCCACAACATTCTTTCTTAGTGCCTTCCTTTGTGGCAGAAATTTAAGCCTTTATGATTGCTTCAATTTTAGACATGTTTGTAATTCCTTCCCACTTCCTTACAAGGCAATCTACGTTTGAATAATTGTTTTCGGGGTATTGGTTTGACGACTGTTAAGTTGAACTTGCCTCAGGCCCATTCAAAGTGGTCATGATTGATTTAGGCATTTGCTTAAAGATATTGCTTGCTGATCTTCCCGGTTTAAAAATATAAATTCATTGACTAGAGCTGGTGTATGCTTATCATAAGAGGATCTTTCTGGCTGCGCTGAATTAGGGGCCTCGCAGCTGATATCATCCTCTCCTTTAAACATGGGCTGCTTTTGTTGATTCTGGTTTGTCACTCCGGGTCAGAACAATAAAATGGTCCACTTTGGCCTCCTGATATACGTCTTCATAAATCAAAGCTCGCAGAGTCATGCAAGTTTACCCAACATGCCTCGTTAAAGCTCAAAATTCTAGTGTTTGTTTGTGTTGCACATTTTGATGATAAATGCGTTTCGAGGCAGAATCTTAAGATGCCTATGTTTCAAACATCCGTGTAATTAAGATGGCCATCGGGACCGCTGGATTTAAACTTCTAATTCAAATCCAATGACTTGATGGCAATTGGGTTGGAGAATCAGGGCCAACTATTATAGGACTTAGCTGCGTTAACACACCTGCTTCCTGCAAAAGCCATTTTGGCCGGGACTTGGGAATGTTGTTGTCATGCTTGTTAACTAGTAATATATACAAATATATACATTGATTACTACATTGATCCACTTAAAAAAGAGAGATAGACACAAAAAAGAAAAAAAAATTTTAAAAATGTAAAAATCTTCTTATTATGAATAAGAATATAATGTAATGTATCTATCTCTTTCCTTCGAGTGAATTAATGATGTAATTATTACACCTATCAATAATTATTCATTGTATATTATAAAATTTTTCAACCAAACCATGACACACACTGCACGTGAGAAGAACGTGTTAGCGTGCCTACGTGCACATACATATCACCGAGGTGAGATGCATTTGTCAACCCAGCTGTTCCTTCCTACTAGTCTCTGCACACAGGGCATCGTGTCTATTTGTACTATATACAGTAACCAATGTCACCTTGTCTGTCATGGGAATAAATTAAAAGCACTCCACAATCGACCATGCTCCTCAAAACCATACACCAACATTTATATATTACTCCTAAATAATTCACATTTTTTTTTATTTACTTACTACCGGTGTGGCTCACATATGCCACGACCCAAGCCTCTCTTCTTTCAAACAAAAGAAAAAGAACAAGAGACAGAGCTAGACTGATTAAAAAAGCAAACATCATCTTAACAACTAAACAATACACTGATGAAAAAAAGATTCAGTACTGACGACTGAGACATATCCTATATCCCAATCCGACCTGTTTCTTTAGACCCACACCAACAGAGAATACTGTCAAAAGCCACTAATAACTCCACTAAACATAAAAGTTTTAAGTCAATACACCATTCTTCTTTTTTTAACTCTTTTCTCTTTCATTACATTATGGAACAGCTGCTACTGTTCTCATCACTGAACATTTCGGTTGATGCAGCTGCAGCAGAGTGATCACCATTGTAATTAGGTTGTTCAGTGTAGGCGTGAGGGTACGGGTAAGGGGCAGGGCTATAATTATAGTAATAGCCAGTGGCGGGTGGATTATAAGGAGACCTCTGATACATCATCTGGGGTTGTTGTTGTTGTTGTTGCATGACATTCCTGTTTTGCATGTTCATCATCATTGATGCTGGATGGTTGTGCGCGTTCATGTTCATCGGCATGGATGATGGATACTGACCTGTGGCATATCCACCAGTAGGGAATCCTGCTGCTGCAGAAGAAGATCCTTGAAACCCATTATTATTGGGTTGAACTTGCAACCCTCCTAGACCACCATTGGGATTACCTCCTAATGCAGCAACAGCAGCTGCAGCATTGCTAACATTAGCACCATTTCCATGAAAACCAGCAAGGTTCATCATGGTACTAATGTCATTTCCCCTTTTGCCCTCCCCAGCACTGATGTTTCCACCATTTAATTGGGCATTTTTCATTTGCAACGCTGCCATGGTTTTTTGATCTATCCCACCTGAATTAAACTTCATTCCCATATTCTGATTTGGGTTTCCTTTCTTTCCAGCATTCCCATTTACAAGATTGTTCATTTTATTACCGCTGTTGGAAGCAGCAGGATTGGCACCGATACCATTCTTTGCCTCCATGGCATGCTGCCTGAGAAGACCCAGTTGGCTTGGCCCAAGAAACCTGAGTTCGTCCTCGTCATCATCTTCTTCATCATCAAGATAGTCGTCATCTTCTTCAGAGCTGAACGCAGGGAATTTCTGCTGGTTCTTTAAGGCCTCAAGGCCCTTGACCAAGCCTTGCTTCTGACTTTTATTGTTCTTGTCATCTTTAATACAGTTGTTCTTTTGGTTTTGGTTGGACTTTTGGGACCAAACCTCAGCATGTTTACCAGCTCTGACTAGTTTCTTAATCAAAGTTGCAGAATCTACAGTTCCTGATACTGTGACTTTCTGCTGCTCTGCATCTATGTTTACTTGGTAAACTCCTGTAACAAGAGGGTTCCAGGAAAAAAAAATTAAAAGCAGAACGAAAATTTAGAAATAAAGTTAGACAAGCCAGAAGAAATTCACCATATGTAAGTAGCTTTTTATTTTTGACAACAAAATCCAGGTCACCTCATCTTTCGAATTACAAATATCTCAAAATCAATGATCGTTCCTCACATGAAGCTACACTTGGTCGATTCAGAGGACTCAATCATTACATCGTATACTCTTCATGAAGAAAAATATACATTTTGACTCATTATCTCAATTTTAACCAAATAAACAAACAGGCAGAATGATCGAGTAGCTCAGCGTGAGGAAAATCAATAATATTAAAAATTGAAACACGATCATTAATTTATTCCTGACATGGAAAACAGAATAACACTACTGCTTTGCTTGGCCACTAGCAAAAATTGAGAATAATTTTTTTAAAAATCTCATTTAATTCATTCAGTGTGCTCTGGTTTTCAAGAGAGATTCAAACCTTTATATCAGAGCAAAACCACTCCTCTTTTGCTACCAATTATTCGCAACAAATAAGAACCCGCAAAAAACTAAGCTACACTATAAAAAGGAAAAAGAGCTAGCAAAGCAGTCCAAAATTCCACATCAACAAGGAAAACAGTAGGAATATTATAATATAGTAAAAAAGATGATACGAAAGTGAGCACCTTCAATCCTCTGAAGGAGTTTCTTCACTTTCTGCTTACACCCATCACAGTGTATGTTCACTTTGAGAAGAAAAGTCTGTATTTACAAAAAGAAATAAAACAAATAAGCAAACAACAAAGACAAGAAGAACGATGCTTGAGGAAAAAAGGCCACCACAAAACTTTTCAGCAGATATAGAAAAAACAACCAAAAAAAGGGGACTTAAGAAAGGACAGAAAGAACGTGGCTAAGGAAGGAAGAGAGAGACCTGGATCTTGAGGAGCTTAAAGTCATCTTCTTTAGTCATCTCTTCAGTGCTGTTTTGTAATAAAAGAGGCTCAAAACACTCAGCTAAGAAAGAGGGGAAGAAATAAAAAGGTTAGCACAATATCTATATCTATGTTCATATGAGCTGGTGAGAGTAAAAGGTTAAAGGGCTGAAGTTACACAACCATTTATAGATAGATAGATAGAGAATATATATTCTTCATTTCTTACTTCTTTTCTTTTTCCTTCTCTTCTTCCAGTTCTCAAAAGCAAACAAAACAAAAGCACATGGGTGTTGTTTTAGCTTCTTCAAACTTGAAAAATTATAATAATAATTTAAAGAAACAACCAAGAACACAGAAACCAATACCACAGGCAATGCCAAGACAAACAAAGTGAAAAGGAGAAGACACAGTGCGAGGGGGGGGGAGTGAGGGTCAGGACACAAACATCCAGTAGCAGTAGTAGTAGAGAGAGAGAGTAAAAAGTGGGAGAGAGAAATACTGAGCAAGAGGAGGGGATGCTCTCTGCTCTGTAAAATCTGAGGTGATGTGATTTAACGTTAAATACTGAACGAGAGAAAACAATAAAAGAACAGCGACTTGACAGGCCGGCTTCTATCCCTGTCCAGTTTGTCACAGGTATTAATTTTTCTCGTGAGAAACACAAACAATACAATATAGTAGAAAGATGGAGAGAAATGTTTTTGGAAGTGAGAAGTAGAGTTGAAAGTTTTTTTCAAGTTTAAAATTTGATTTGAATAACAATAGCAAGGAAGGAGTGTTTTGAATTGATAGTCAGTTCACAGATTCTTGGCCTTTTCTTTTCCATCTCTGTTGATAACTTGAAGGACAGTGAGATCCTTCTTGCATCTTGAGGATATCTTTTATACTGGTATTGTCTCTGGGAGGCAACAGACCTACGGTTACATGCCATCTAATGTCTCGGAAATTGGGATACGTAAAATGTGCTTCTGTTTGCTTTTAGAGAGAATAACAATTTTGTCCCTGGACTATTCCTTTATTTCAAATAGGATCCTAAACAGTTATTTTTTCAATTAAGTCCCTCATTTATTGGATATTTTCCAATTATACACACACACACACTCTAAAAGGATAAAAATGAAGACCTGTTTGTTTTGAAAAGACATCGATTTTTCTCATAAATTTTAATGCTGAAGATCAATTGGATAATATTTGATAGATGTGGAATCCAATTGAGAACTACTTTTGTTTGGAGTTAATTGAGAAACCAATGATAGTATGTGGACAAGCTTGTCATATACCCTGTTTTTATTAGTAAGAAATGAACCCGTACGCATTTAGTGTTTGGTCGGTTGTTGAAAGGCTTGGTTATGCGATAAATGGGTATGGTTTTTGCATTCATGTTTGAATTTGAATCCAAAGTGATGCTAGTTATGGAAAAGCTTCCAGTAAATGTAATATCCCGAAGATAGATGGTTTCATTAAATTAGATTAGGTTTAAGTTTTCAGTTACAAAAAATAGTTCCAGGATGCCTTTGTTGTAAAAAAGAAAAATGGTCAAAAGTATATGGTTACTCTCTTTCAGGGAAAAAAAAAATGTTAATGGTTAAGTACCATGAATATAATATGTTATTAGATAATTGTTAAACTTAAAAGCTTGAATTATTATATAAGGATTTAAAAAATAATTTTATATTATTTTTTAACATAATTTTTATAAAAAAAAATTGTCTGAATTTAAAATTTGCATAAATCTACTATTATATTGTATTAAAATTTTCATTTGATTAGAACATATAATAATGAAGTGATAAAATTTATATAATACACATGAACTAGAATGCTCTAGTATCATATTAAAATATCATTTTAATTTAAAAATTTTAATTATTATATTATTTTTTAAAATATTTATAAGTAGTGAAATATTTTTAAGTTAGTTTTTTTATTAATCGAGACTAAATTTATCATTTTCTAGGTTAAATTAATACCAATATACTTGTAGTTTTTGCTAAATCATTGGATTTTTTCTTATATCAAATTAATTTAAATTTGATATCAATAAAAAAAATAATTAAATAAAATCTAATTAATATGTATGATTTTGTATTATTTCTAACATAAAAAAGAGAATGTGGTATGACGACGATTACGATTTTATTTGAGGAGAGAGAGAGAGAGAGAGCACAAATATCTTGCATTGAGAATAAAGAAGAGATAAAGAGACAAATAAAAATTTGGAGCCATAACACTAAGGTCGTGACCATTTTGGTATTGCCCATAAAAATGAAGAACGTTTCCTACTGCCCAAGTTACAAGAATTTCCTTACTATCTACATGCGGATTTAGGAGCCTCCTCGTTTTAACAGCAGCTTCGCATTCGAATAGCATTGGATTGTTTTCCTTAAACTCGATCTTCATCCCTGTTCTTCTTTTGCTTTTTCTTTTTCCCTTAAATCGCTGTCTCTTCTGTAAAACTGGTATCACCATTCCATAAACCACACTTTGCTTATAGATCGCTTTGAATTTTGTTATTTATAGTTAGACCACTCCGAAATTAATTTTAACTAGCAACAAGCAAGAAAAAAACAAAACTCCCATGATAACAATAGATTAAGATACAAGGTCTAGATCCCAATAGAATGATGAGAATCGTACAAAGCAGGGGCCTATTTCCAGTTCAGGTAACAACATATTCAAACGAGCCTTCGATGTGAATTAGCCATTGTTGGATGCAAATAACACAGTAAAAAGTTGAATGCTCATCCAATGAGTTTTTTTTTTGTGCGTTTTTGGTTTTGTGATTGATGCATTTATGTTTATAATGATTAGGACTATAGCTAGTCTAAAAATACGCATTGAATTGACCTGAAATTCATTTTAGGTTATTATTCGGTCTAAAAAAGGAAAACATTAGCATGTGAAAACTTTTAAATTGGTAGCCTTAGTTGATTTGAAAAAGGTTTCAAAAAGTAATTGTTTCCAATATAGGTGCTGCATTCTATTTACGAGGTAGGCATGGACATCAAAGGCATGGTATCAAAATTGCTGTTAAACATTACCATGATCCATGGCAATCTATTTTTCATAATATGTATATTTCGCTTTTCTACAATGCCACTTTTTCCCTGGCTGTGAGGACACTGGTGGACGCAGGATTAAATATTCACTAGAGTTAAAATAAATATGTATAAATTTGTCATGATTTATATAAATTTGTATGAATTATAAATAACATATCAATATATATTTTAAAATAACCTTAAGATACAATCAATCAAAATAGAGATTTTCATTTTTTTAATTTATAAAAATTATTTATAAGTTAATTTATACTAAAATTTTCAGTAATTTCTTTTTCAATATACACTAATAAATAATCGAAAAGAAAGTCATTTTTTATTTTGTTACAAAACTTAGTTTTAACTATGCTCATAGTTGAAAATGACCGCTTTGTGGTTGTAGTAAAAATTAAAAAAGTAAGAATACGTATTATCACTCTATACACAAGTTAATAAGGATAGGCATTATGATTGTCCAAAGAAAATTAAAATTCTTCTAGATAAATCAAAATAATGTAAAAAAAATGCTTTTAAAATATTTTTGAGAGAAAATTAGTTTTTATTGACAGATAAATTAGTTTAGTAAATTAAATTCTCTCTATTTTAAAAGATTCATCTTAAAAATAATTAAAATTTCAACCTCCTATTTTCTATTTTTGAAAGATTTGTGATAATATTCTATTTTCAAGTAAATAAAATATGTTAATTATAAATACATATTTTCATATGTATTAAAAATAAGGAAAAAAAAAAACCTTATGAATATCACCACATTTTTTTTTTTTTCGATGCTAGAATGCCAAACCTACATGGCATCATACAAATTGCCTAAACGTATTTGTTTTTCCTTTAGAGGGGAGGTGGACTCTGGACAGGGATCCATGTAGCACATTTTGCACTCTGTATGATGCTAAAATAGTACAAAATGATATAGTATGATTCGAGCTTAATTATGCTATTAACCTCTCCAATCACTTCAAAACATTTTTATTTGAGAATAAAATTGTTGTCCAGCTGATTTCCGTAAGTGAAGAAAAATATTACAAACATCAGGATCGTTTCTTAAAGGATAAAAACCAGACCTGTTTGAAATGTGGTGAAGAAAAATCCCAAAATAACATTCACCATCAGCGGAAGGAATTAGCAGCAAGTTCCTTACGAAAAAGCAAAGTCAGTGCTGTCAAATGATCACAAAGGCATTGCAGTTGACTCGCCTTAAAGGCTAGCTATATGATCAAATTAAAACTACGCATGAGAGCATGGCAGGACGTGATTGGAAATTACATGACATGAGACTCGAAGACGAGGATGTTCCGGCATGTGTTGTCAAATTATAGACTTTCGTGACGTGCAGTGCCAATGGGCTAGGAAGCCTAAGTTTTGTGAGGTTTATTTTCATTATCCACTTATTTTATTTAAAAAGCATCATATGAATATGGTATGATACAAATATAGATACGGATCAATATAAGAATATGTCAATCCTTAAATTTTTGGGATACCATAGATTATCATGGAAATTATATTTTTAATTAGTATCTCTACTGATTATGTATTTTCCAAATAAAATAATAAATATCATAGAGAAATATAATTTTTGTCAACTTTTGGCAAAGTTTTATGTTAGTTTACTTTGAATAATACCGACAATAATAATGTTAAATTTCGTAATTTTTTTATCTTCTTTAATAATATTTATCAATTGTTTTTCATTAAAAATTTATTTGGGTGTTCTAAAATTAAAAATGTACAAATTATTGACAAATATTATTTTACCATACATAAAAGCCTTTTTAAAACACCTCAAAGTCTTTAAAAAAAGAAGTTATGTTTTAAAATATCCATGCTCCATTTGCAACCTGATTGGGTGTAGTGTGTACTCTAGGAACCATCTAAACAGAGGTAGGCTAAAATTTCCAATTTGAAGGAACATGGGCCCGGCCTATTGAAAGCCCATTAAAACGAGAAATTGAAAAGAAAAGTGAGAAATAGAAGAGAAAAAAGAGATTGACAATAATGATGCACATATCCCCGTGACTACTGGGGCCTACCTCACCCTACTGTGGTCTGCACGACAAATAGGGTTTCAGTTTCGAGGTCAAATTGGTTTTTTGTCATTGTCACCTCTGAACTTTTACTTATTTGCCAGGTTGGCCCCTCTAGTTTGGTAAGTTGCCTTCAATTAAGGAAGCATGCACGCACTAATGCATTACTATAGTTGTAAAATTTTTGCTGCTCGAAATTTATTTTGTTTGCATTTAAGATTTCAAAAATTAAGAGAAGATTATTTGAGAGATTATTAGTAGTAATCCCATAATGTCATCTAATGTTCACACAAGACTGAAAAAATTACTATAACTCGGTGTCACCTGAATGAAAAAAAAAAAAATAGCAATAGTCAAGAACTATCTTTTTATTTTTTATTGTCTCATGTATCCATTTAGTTTTCTTTTTGCACCGATAAAGTTATTTGGGACAGTATGAATTAATGTTATTTTCGTGAATAAAAAAAATTATTAAATTTTCTTTTGGCCCAGTGTCAATCATTATAGAACCATTTCAACTACTACGAATTTTACAACATGCAGTAGTTTGTGTCGATCTTCCAAGGAAGATAAGACAATGTCCATCAAATGATAAAAATAGTCGTCTACAATAAGGTGGGCTCTTATTCTCTCTAGCCTTGCTTGAAGTGGTAAAGGATGGCATATTCTCTGCGGTAATCCAATATAAAATCATTAGAAAATGGTGACATAAATAGAAATAGACAAAGTTCATAGGTCACCTATGCAAAAAGATAAAAGAATGTGACCTTTTGGCCTTTTTTACCATAACATATAGCCTGTCTCTATTTTCTTGTTTTGAAATGGGAAAAACCAAAACCAAAGCAAACAAGGTCTGGTTTTTCACCTTTTTTGGTACACAATTCCCTAACATGCTTCCTCTTATTTTAACCTTTCGTGTACAAATTTTCATGCCCACCGCAACCATTGGGTGTTTGGAGGAGGGTTGCTAGTTTCGTTCTTGGTACATCGTGTAAAGGTTTTGTTTTTGTTAAATTACGAGGCCCTATGACCGGAAGGTGGCGCGCAATCACACAAAGGCTAAAGTGAAGCTGAAAATGTGTAAGAATTTATAGGGTCTAAAGAGACTAGGAAAGTGTGAGTTAGGTCCATCATTACTGACCCCCCAGCTCCTGCAAATCTCTCTGCATGCTGTCCCAAACCAAACCAGGCTCACTTTTTACTTTTCTTGCCTTTATTACCTTTGCTTCTGTACCAAGTCTCTGATTTTTTTATCTACTATCATAATTACCTTAACTGCCACTGACTTTTTTGGTGTCTCTCAACTTTGTGGAACAACACTATTTAAAGTCTCAATTCCCAAAGAGATGTAAAATTCTCTGAGCTCAGCATCTGATGAAGTTTAAAGGAAGAGTGTGGTACGATTTGGATGAGATGGGTTAGGACAGCACTTTAGGACCATCAAAGATCTGAGATGTGGTATCAGCTAGGGTCCATCTTTCTTGGGATCCCATGCTTCAGGGATATGATGAAAATCTGCTCTTGTGTCTTGTTAGGAGTCAATTCATCGATTGATATCAGTCTGTTTGACAGAGAAAGAGGGAGCCTAATTGGGCCTTGATCAATATCATATCTGTCAATATTACAAAACCAGAGAGCCACGAAGCCTTATTAATTACAGGTCCAGTACTGTACTGCTTCCTCTTGACTTTATGGACGGGAGCTTATTGATCCTCCTTGAACTAGGGCCCATTAGCCATTCTTATTTCCTCAAAAGCTAGTGCCAATTTTACCCAAAATAATAATACTAATAATAATTTCAACAAAGTTTAGTTGATGATCAAAGCTTATTTCTGTAATTGGAATACATTAGATTAAAATAAGATCTCATATTAGTGCATTAATTCCAAGTCCTTCGTGTATTCATGCAACAGTAAAATAAAAGGCTAGAATCTTGTTCTTGTATGACAGCCAAAAAGAAAAATAAATTGAATGACTATTATGCTGACAAACTTAAGTATGAGCTAGATAGTACATATTAAAAAAAAAGAAGTCATTTTCTGTTAGTCGTGTTTAATCTACTAGTTTTTTGTTTTTATAACATCACGCAGGTGAAGAAATGATACCCAATAGAACTTGTGTAGCTCTGGACACATTGATCATATTGAACAGTGTCAGGCCATGCGTATGGGGGGCGAAGAAGTTTGTCTGTTAGGTCTAGTGAAAAAACTCTAACATGTAAAAGGAACTAGGTAACATCCAGTCTTTGTTAGCATTCCCTGTAAACATGGTTTATAATTACCTTCGTATTCCTTTTTCACGGAGCCCCGGACGTGCTTGGAAAGCATGGCATAAACATTTCCATCGGGCTGCCTGAGATTAGTTGTTTAGCAGACCGGCAGCCTACTTCCAGGGACACAAACTTGAAGCCTCCAGTCCAAACCAATTCGAGGCCTATTTTAAAAGCCCAAAGTTCTGGGCTGAGAGTATCAACATTACAACGACCTAATCTTGCTGAAAAACCAGCCTTGAACTTGGCAAAGGAATCTGAATTAGGCCGCCTGCATCCGCTTGACTTGGATTCCCTTTTGCTTGCAACATAGCGTTCAATTTAATCCAACCTTTCCTGAGAAAGCCCAACAGGTATAATTCTCGGCAGGATGAGTATGTTCTGTGGCAGTGTTATGCTCAAAATTCAGATTAAGCCTAAAAATCTAATAATTTGATTTCACAAAAAAAAAAAACCTGTTAGTTAATTTGTTAGGTGATTTATTTGGACCAAAAGACTTATAACAATAGACTATTTGATTAAGCAAAACAATTATAAGAAGATAACTTTCCTGACAATCAGAAAAGATTATGGATCACGATCCTAATTTTTACAAAAGAACATAAAACCTTGTAAAAAGCAGTGTGTGAAGTTGCAGATGAACGTGGAGCATTGCAAGATTACATGTTAGCTGGAAAGGAATGTGGAGAAATATAAAATATCACAGAAAAGCCATAAGTCTATAAATATAAGCTACAATGGAAGAAAAAAGAACCCAACAATAAATAATAAAACTTTAGAATACTTAAAAATAGCAAGAAGCACTTAGAGAACTATTCCAAATTTTAATTCATTTGAAACTTATTAAGCAATAGATCCTAACAACAAATAATAAAACTTTAGAATACTTAAAATCAACAAGAAGCACTTAGAGCAATATTCCAAATTTTAAATAATTTGAAACTTATTAAGCAATAGATTGTATACAGTAATCAAAATAGGTTAATAGTTTTACTCTTTGATTCCATCTTGTGTCTACAACTTGTATTTGTGGTCTTTAATAATTGAATTTCTATGAGAACGTCACGTCTAGAGGAAGAGTCTTGGTTCGTAAGTATCCTTTTTCATCAATAAACATATTCATGTCTAAACTCTACACATTGTTAACTTTGCAAAATAGTAGACTTAATCAATAAGAACTTGAATTTGAAAGTTGATTGTCTTGCAAACTACTATCAAACTTTTTTTTAATTCTTTTATTATAAGATTTTCTTAGTTGAGACATATACAAAAAAAAACTTGAAAAATAGATTAGCGATCATAGTAGGAGTGTCGATTTAGATTTCTCTTCAACATTTTTTTTACCACTCGTGCTTGTGAAATAGATTGACAATCAAATAGAAGTGTCAAATTAGATTTTTTTTTCACAATATCTTTTGGTCATTATGCTCGTAAAATAGATTGACGATCATAGTGAGAATATCAATCATATTTTTGAAATAGAACCAAATTATCGAGATTTTTATAAAAAAAGAGAGTCACTCTAAGATATTTTAACTCTTGGAAATTTTTTATCCAACCAATTCTTAATAAGAGTATTGTGATGATGATAATTAAATTTATGATAGAAGAAGAGAGTCATTTTATAAGATATTAACGTATGGAACTCAAAAATATTTGACACATGAAGATAAAATTCGTGATATTTCTAAGCCTATAAGAATAAAAGAAAGACATACCTAATTTGAGATTAGTTTTAAAGGGGCTTACAAACTAATAGAAGTCAGTATCAAGACATAACTCAACTAATTAAAAAGAAAAGCATAAGTTGAGAATTGAAATGATAGAGAATCACTACAAAAAATTAATGTTGGCTAATAGTAATACAATTCTACCTAGAAAAAAAGATCCTATAATGATGTGAGAGATTATAATGGAAGGGACAATCTATGGTTTGAACTCAAACTCCCTACACAAAGACCTTTACATTTTGGAGAAACTGCTCATTCTATAAAAGAGCCTTTTGGAGATCCAAATGCTTCTCTGCAAAGAACAAAAACTATAATTACAAGTCTGCCAATACTAGCTTTATAGAGAGCAAAAACTATAATTACAGGTTTTATAAACGCTAACTCGGTACAGACCGTAAACAATAATTAAGTGTTTAAAAAAGAGTACGACATGGATTGTTGCTAGGACTTCTCTTCCTTGTAGAATACTTGTCCCTAGTTAATAGTTATTACAGCGCTAGTACTCTCTGTTGCGGTCAGGCCCAAACCCAGAGATATGTTAGGTTTGTCTGCTCCCACTTCCGCCTCCTCCGCCTCTTCTGCCTGCCCCGCCGCAGCTAAGCTTTCTCGTGTCCCCTTCGCTGCACTTCAAAAAACTACTTCTGCTGCTTATTTCTATCAAACGGTAACACACAAAATCCGAAAAAAAGACAACATCTCAACTTCTCTCTCTATTGTTCTTTTAGAAAATTCGGTCCTCTCCAACTCGCTACGCTCGAGCTGTAGTGTAATCAAATCCATGACTGATTCTCAAACTATATCAATGCCGAAGAATGAGCAACAATCCCCTGCTTCAGGTGACTACTTTTATCAATTTCTTTTTTTATATATATTTCCTCTTTTATGGTTGATTTGGGTTTATATTTATATATCCAAATTCAGATTCTTATCTTATTTTTTTAGTGAAAAAAAGTCTTAGAATCAGCTTAAGATGCAATATGTTATGTTCTATATGTGTTACAGGCCAGAAGCAAGCACTCATATCTCTATCAGACAAAAAGGACCTAGCTTTTCTTGGTACTGGGTTACAACAATTAGGGTAAAAATCCTCATAAATTTGCATTTATGTGGTGAATGAGGCCTTATTTTCTTAAGGCTGTCGGCATTTAGGTAACTTATGGTGGTTTGTTTTGGAAAACTGAAGGTACACGATAGTTTCAACAGGAGGAACAGCATCTTCTCTGGAAAGTGCCGGTGTTTCTGTCACTAAAGTGGAACAGCTTACCCATTTCCCTGAAATGGTAAACGAGTTCTTAATTATGTCTTCTTTAGATTTTAATGGCCGTTCTAGCTTAGGTTGATTTTAGTCAGTTACTGGTTTTTGAAATCCTTATTAGTACATTTTTGTGTTGGTAAAATCTTTTGGTTATGAGAATGTTATGTTAATTATTCTGATACGCGAATGCATATGTTGATACAGCTTTAATAGATGAAATGGTGAAGTGCAGTTCTTGACAATTTTCATTTGAATCATTATGTATGTATTTCTATTTTAAGTTTTAGCTCTTTGAATTGCTGATGTCTTTTGCACCTTTTGACACTGCTGCATTTCGGCTAGAAACTGGCTTCCTCCGAGATTTCCTTTGGTTGAAAATCTTTCGTTGAAACTGATGTCATCTCTGCTACCTTGTTACAGCTGGACGGGCGTGTGAAAACTTTACACCCCAACATACATGGTGGTATTCTTGCTAGAAGGGACCAAAAGCATCACATGGAAGCTCTCAATGAGCATGGAATTGGTAAATTGTGATAAAACTCTTTTTCTTTGCAATTCCATAGTTGTAACATCTTTTTCATAAATTGTCCATTTGATTTCAACTCAATACAATAATTTTTTGCTAATACGGTTGCCCTGCAGGTAGCTTTGATGTGGTGGTGGTGAACTTGTATCCCTTTTATGATAAAGTTACTTCAACTGGAGGAATTGAATTTGAGGACGGAATTGAGAACATTGATATTGGTGGCCCTGCCATGATCAGAGCTGCTGCAAAGGTTTGATTTGAATGCCTGCTGCTTTTTCATTGATATTACTGCACTCATCATCTTCTTGCACATCTCTCTAAATTCGTAACATGACAGGTTTAAGTAAAATAGCTAGTTTTTGCTCTTTAATCATTCATTGTTGTCATCTTTGTCATGACCAACAAAATAATAAAGAACCGAAGATAATTTGATGAGTGAGTTTGGGCCTGTAATGTATGGTAGTTTCTTGATTGATGTGGCAATCAAATTTGATGATAATTTATCAAGGCTTTGGTCAAAAACCATTGTAGCTGTAACATTGAATTTGGCTTAGTTTCGGATGATATAGAAGCATTTTACAAAGGCCTCCTACTCTGTTGCTTTGTGCTCACCGGTTGAGCGGGACAGAAATTTTGGAGACTTGTTGGACCAGCAACATGCAATATATCTGAAAGTATATTCAAAATAATTATCCTTATCTGCTGCCTATCAATGTGTAGTGCTTTGAAATAGTCTACCAACAGCATGCTATTTGCAAAACCAGTATATTGCTTTTCCCCCCATCTTAGGTTCAATGCTTAATGTGGCAAAAGTACTGTATCATGGTGCAAATCATTGTAATGCATGTAGGCAAATCTCTATTTCATACTTCAAATTTTGTTATTTTAGATTCCAACTGAAACTTGCTTTATGAACAGAACCATAAGGATGTCGTAATTGTTGTTGATTCTGAAGATTACCCTGGACTTCTAGAATTTCTTAAAGGAGATCAGGATGATCAACAGTTCCGAAGAAAGCTTGCTTGGAAGGCTTTTCAACATTGTGCTTCCTATGATTCTGCAGTTTCAGAGTGGCTGTGGAAACAAACTGTGGGAGGTACTCTTTGGATCCTCCTGTCTTTAGTAATGCATCTTTTGTTTATGTGGCTAATAAACGTTTGCAGTTATGCAATCTGATTCGAATAACATCATCCAGATAAAAATAATCATCACAATTACTAAATAATTTGATAACAACTGCAAGGGACAACTTGGACTTATCATGATTGGGTTTGCAAGTATCAAGAAAATAAGAACTGATTTTTATGAAAATTTGATGGTGTGAATTCACTTGATCGTGTTACCCTGGTCCATGATTGGGTAGATGGATTGACATGGTTGTTTTTATAAATTTGAAGATAAATTCCCTCCCAGCTTTACAGTGCCTCTCGAGCTTAAGAGTTCGCTTCGTTATGGTGAAAATCCTCATCAAAATGCTGCATTTTACGTTGACAAGAGTATTTCTGAAGTCAATGCTGGTGGTATTGCAACAGCTATTCAACATCATGGGAAGGTGAAACAATCTACAACTATTGCTTCTTCCTTTATTATCATCTAGAATTGAGATTCTAGTGTCGTCATTGCTGCTGTTAATGTGAAAGTGAGAATCCTTGGCAGTAAAAAGTTCTGACGGGAAGTCCACAGAGAATTAAGCACAGTTATAATCAGTAATTCCTGCTTCTTCTAAAGATTATACTGTCTGTTCCAATCAGTAATCCTGGCTTCTAAAATATTATACTGGCTCTGATTGCTTTTATGCACAGGAGCTCTACTTACAAGCCTTGATTAGTTGAAAAAGTTACCTATCGCATGTTTATCTTTTCTCCCTAATAAGATTTTTGTGACTGTGTTGGCATTTTTACATGTATGTTCAGCTGCAATGTGGGTGAATTTCTTTGATATTCTTAAACTACCAGATCTGTAGTTTACCCCACATATTGTACTGTATTTGTTCATGTAGTTATGGGAATCTTGTCAGAAATCATATGATGTGTCACAGTGTTCACAAATTACATTCCTTGTTTTTTTTCTCTCCGTGTTTTATTTTTTGTATTCCCAAACTGAATCACTCATATGAGCAGGCTTACAGTAACTACTTGACATAGCTTATGGAGTTACTTTTGTTGCAGGAGATGTCATATAACAATTACTTAGATGCTGATGCAGCTTGGAATTGTGTGTCAGAGTTTCAGAACCCTACATGTGTAATTGTAAAGCATACAAATCCCTGCGGGGTAGCTTCTCGCGGTGATATCCTTGAAGCTTATAGGTTGGCTGTGAAAGCAGATCCAGTGAGTGCATTTGGTGGTATTGTAGCCTTTAACATAGAAGTTGATGAGGTAAGTTATGGTTTATAGGTTTCAGGTCTGATGTTGAATGTTGAAAAGCTCCATTTAATGAGTTTCTCATGAGTGTCAGGTCATTAATCAAATTGTTGTTTCTAAGTGTTTTGATTGGACTACTTACCAATGACATCGAACCTTTTATGGAACTAGCAATACGTGTATCGCTGAGTTATGCATGCTTTTTCACAATCACGAGATAGATGGAATTTGATTTGTTATGTGAATATTTTTTTGCGTAAGAACCATAGCAAGGTGCTAACACCTTCTGTTATCGGGATTTTTATTTTTATTTTTGTGCTTCTAGGCCCTTGCTAAGGAAATCAGGGAGTTCAGAAGCCCAACAGATGGTGAAACTCGGATGTTTTATGAGATTGTTGTTGCTCCCAAGTATACGAAGAAGGGACTTGAGATCCTTCGTGGCAAATCGAAGACATTGAGGATCCTGGAGGCAAAAAGTAACGAGAAAGGAAAGCTTTCACTAAGACAAGTCGGTGGTGGATGGTTAGCTCAGGATTCAGATGACCTTACCCCCCAAGACATCCAATTTAATGTTGTGTCTGACAAGACTCCAGTAGAGAGTGAGCTTCATGATGCAGAGTTTGCATGGCTATGCGTGAAGCATGTTAAGAGCAATGCCATTGTAATTGCAAAGGTTTGTATTTCCCTGATGCTTAGATTAGAGAGTTCTTTGTGAATGGACTGTTAACACATTTCCAAAGAATTTCTCATCCTTACAATTGTTTGGGCAGAATAACTGTATGCTAGGTATGGGAAGCGGGCAGCCAAACCGTCTAGAAAGCTTGAGAATAGCCATGAGGAAAGCAGGGGATGAGGCCAAGGGAGCTGCTTTGGCCAGCGATGCTTTCTTTCCATTTGGTATTACTTCTAATAGAGTTATTGCAGTTTGACATCCTTCATAATGGTGCTTAAATAAACTTAGCGGTCACTTGAAAAAAATGTTGATCTTGGGTATGGAATAGAAATTCGCAAATGCCACTGTGAAATGGTTCTAATTTTTTATTAAAGGATGTGATACCCATTTGCTAGTGAAACAACAGCGGTGGTGGTGTTTATATGTACTAATAGCGTGCGTGTTGTGTTAACAGCTTGGAATGATGCAGTGGAAGAGGCATGTAAGGCTGGTATTGGTGTTATTGCGGAGCCTGGTGGTAGCATCAGGGATAAGGATGCCATAGAATGCTGCAACAAGTATGGAGTTTCACTGCTTTTAACTAATGTGAGGCACTTTAGGCACTGATGAGTTACTTTCAGCCTTTAAGCATTTCTGTAGTTGAGAGTTCCTGCAGCTTGTAAGCTGAATGTACAAGCATGCCGATGTATTTTAGAGATGCTACAAATTAACAATGCACTTGTTATCATGCTGCATTTATTTTTTCCTTTTAAAAAGGGAAGATAATTTGAAGTTTTCCAGATAATTAGATATTCTCATCTCAACTGATCGTACAGTGTCATTCACATTTTTATTTCTTTCTATTTTCAAGTCCATGATCCTCTTAGCATCTTCTTTTCCATCAACCGGATAAGAAATAATTGATGAGGTTTTCCTTTCGGCTTTATTTTATTTTTGATCCCCATGCTTTGATCTCAAATTAAAGCTGAGATTTCCAAAAAAATGTGCAAACTTCTAGAAATCAACATCAACACAGCCTTAGAACGGAAGGACATGGACATCTGCTAAAATTGACTGCTATTATTTCAGCATCTTCAATCAACAAACAAATGATACAAACAATGAACACCAAGCCCCATCACAACTGATAAATGAAACACAAATTGAATTTGACAGCCTTTCCTTGCACCTTAGGCTTCTCCAGTAGCAGCTAGAAAGGTGACTTATTTTCTTGTGGGCAGTCGCAACATCTGGCATATTGATTCTTTTCACGGGTGAATTTCTGGTACAATCCATTGCCAAACTTAAGATAGACGACACATTGCTCCTCGGTAGCAAAATATTCATCCTTTTTGCTTAACAAATGTGCATCTTCGTCTTTCATGATTGAATCAGGCAACGAGTCATTAACCCAACTCTTCAAGCTCATTTCCAAAACAAATTTTTCGTCAGCCGGCTTCTTTCTTTTGATTGTTTCTATCAGCATTATACCATAGCAGTAAACACCACTCTTTCTCGATGCTTTTTCTTCTCTTCCGTATTCTGTTCATAACATTAACACTTAGATTCAATAAAATAAAATAAAAAATCTGTTGACACTTGACAGAATAATGAAAGTGGAAACCAAATAAAAGAAAGTCGAAAATAAAATACAACAACGAACAAAGAACAACCTGGTGCAATATATCCTATCGTTAGAGTCTGGATTTGTGTTATAGACTCCCCTTCACCTAGGAGCTTTACAATGCCAAAATCACCTAAATGAGCAACCATATCCTCGTCTAGTAGTATATTGCTGGGCTTCAGATCAAAGTGAACAAAAGGTGTTGAACAACCGTAGTGCAGATATTCCAATGCCGATGCAACATCTATCACGATGTTCAGTATCTGTGGAATATCCAAACAGTTGTCGGCAGAACGCAACCACTTCTCCAAACTCCCCTTGGGCATGTACTCCGGCACCAAGGCTTTCAAATCATTGTTTGAACAAGTACTGATAATTTCAACAAGGTTTTGATGACGAACATTACGTAGCGCTTCACATTCAACATCAAAACTCTTAAATGCTCCTTCAGCTTGCAGGTTGAAAACCTTTATTGCAACTTTCATCCCATGCCAAAGTGTTCATAAACAAAGCCAAGTAGCTTCCTTTCACCAAATTCATCTGTTGCTTTTAGAAGTTCTTGGTAGGTAACTCTTCTCCTCATCACTACGGGAAAAGCACCTGCGTCTCTATCGCTTGGTGATTGCACATACCTGTTTCTCCTTAGTATCAACAGAAGTATATATGATGACCAGAAAAAAATATTGTCCATACAGTACTTACTGGTAAAATATAATGGTTCTTATTGATCGTCGAAGACTTTAATTTTTGCATGCCAGGACATGCAATCTGGTTGCACCAAATAATGCATCATTCCCCATAAATGGTTGAGCCAAAAAATTCGCAAATGGTCCTCCAGAGGAATTTCTCCTTCTAGCCTGTTAAAAGACAGACTTAGATATTTGAGATACAGGAGCGCCTCCAGAGATTTCGAAATCCCTCCCAAGAGATCATCACTAGATGGAGTCAAGAATTCCAAGCTTCTTATGTTTCCAAATGATTGAGGAATAGGACCTTCTAATTTGTTTCCTGCTAATGACAGCTGTCGTAGATCACTGAGGTGATAGCTTTAAATTGCAGATGGTTGAAAAAACAGTCGCAGTCGCCATTGCGGATCTCATGACTTACTATAATACTACAATAATGGTAACATGATGCTCCAAAATCATTGTATACCGTTTGTTATCTAATGTAATGGGCATTATTTAAATCTATATGCCTCCAGAAAGTCACTGGGATGTCACCTGATAGCTGATTCCTTAATAAGTGTATTAGCGTTGCAACCTTCAGATTCCCAACGCCTAATGGGAGAGATCCATTCAGAGAATTTGATGACGAGTTTACTTGCAAGATATCTCTAAGGCTTCACAAGCTTGAGGGTATGTTAGATGTTAAGCCGTTGGAGCCTAATGAGAGAATTCTTAAAAAAATGAGATCTCCTAAGCATGCATGCAGGAAGTGGTCTTGTGAGGTTGTTACTGTGAATATAATTTAGCCAAGTTCTCTAGGAGACAAATATCAATGGGGATGTATCCTTGTATATCATTGTCCTGAAGATACAGACCTTGGAGGTTCTGTAATCTCTCAACTGTATCTGGCACGGATCCAGTCAATCTGTTGCCATACAAGTGCAATACTATTCAGTTTCTTAAGTTTCCGATTTCTCTTGGATTGCCTCCCTTAATGTTGAAATCAGCTAAAGAAAATTGTTCCATAGAGGCAGAGAAATTTCCAATTGAAATTGGAAGAACTCCACCAAGTGGATTTTCTGTTAGTATTAATTTCCTCAAGTATAGACTGTTAAAGATGAAAGGAAGTTCAATTCTGTAGTAGAAGAATCCGGTGTCAGATTATTTATCACTAGGTTGAGCCACTGGAGAAATCTTAAATCTCCAAGCGAGCTAGGAATTAAGCCAGAAAAGGAGTTGAAGGCCAGTTCTAGGATGGTCAGCATGGATGCATTGGTGAGCTTGTGATTGTTCGCTTAGTCTATTTGCTGCAAGGAAAAGCTGTTGAAGATTTGGAAGCCAGGGGCCAGTGCCTGCCTGAGAGCTGGTTAGCAGTTAGTGAGATGACTTGCATTGTCGAGATATTGAAGATTAAAGATTACAGAAGGAATGGTTCCATTCAGGCTGTTACTTGGAAAACTAAGTTGATGCAATTCCACAGTTCAATCAAAGAAAGTGTCCCACACCCTTGCCACGTAATCTTCACGGCAACTAACATCTGCAATTCAGAACTCACTAACAGTTAATTCAAAATCCCTAGTCCATTTCCTCCTAGTACTACTAGATTATGTAGTTTACCAATTTCCCCTGGAATCAGACCTGATACAATACAAAAGGTCGGAGACAACGGTCTACTAGCTGTAAGGTGATTTCAGTGAAATTTTTGTTATTTCTCTCCGTTACTACTATTTTTTTCAGCTTCATGCAGAATTTATAAAATTTGACCAATGCATGAATCCCCATGTTGTTATTCTCTCTCTCTCTCTTTTTTTTTTTTTTTTTATTCTTCTGTTCTAATTAGAAGAAGATAAGAAAGTGACAGAAAAATCTATTGGAGATATGTATTGACAGATGGATCGAATCAATATTCAAGTATCTGTAGATTTTGAATTGGAAAGAATGTTGTATAAGTGTGGAAAGAATGCATGCCATATACCGTTTAAGAAACTTATCCCTGTCAGAAACAAACTTAGCCTGAATATAATTAAACCTAAAACAGCCTGTGCATGCATTCATTCATTTATGATTAATTTTGTGTAATGATCCATTTGAAGAACATCAGTACGTTGACTGTTTTAAAACTGAAGAAGGAATACATAATAAAGCATATCTGCCAAATTGTTAGAGCCAAGATATAAACATGGAAGCATGTTCAATTAAGTTTCATAGTTTCGGCAGGACTCCAATCCATGTTGGTATCTGCATGTTAACGTTGTTGAATCTGATCAAACTAAGATACTTAAACCGGCTCAAATTGGCCAACTCATTGGTAAAAATTCAAATTGCCATAAAAGCTGTTGTTAATGATGTTCAGCCAAAAAAGAAATGATAAGTTCCCTGAATGTGCAGGGATATTGCCCGTAAGACCCTTGAAGCAAGATTCAAGATTGTGACTCTCTTGCCGAACACCACAAGTGACTCCTATCCAATTACAGACAGATGTTGTGCTTTCAGGGCAAGGAGTGCAGATTGGTCTGTGGTGATGTTGGTTAGTGCCACATCCATGCTGCCACACATGAAACAATGGACAAACATAAACACTTCAGCAGAAATTAGAAAATATTTTGCCATTGTACTCTCTATTGCGAGGAGACTCGCTACTGCAACATCTCTATATCCCACTATGATTTTATACCAAAAAGAAACCATATCTATCTCTTGCAGTTAACTGAGGCAGTACATTCAAGAAGTTACTTTGGATTCATATTTATTGGGGATGAGCAAGCAAATTCTCTAGTGAATAATGATGGCAGCAATCCCATAAAAAGTCAAACAGATATAGGAATCAAGTTTCTGATATTGCCATTATATCAAGAAAGAGGTTGAACGGTCAACTACTATAATCTTTAATTTATTTAGGAATAGAACAAATCATTCAGCTATAATCTATAATTTCAGTCCAAGTCGAGAGATTCAGTTCGTGTATTGTAAGGTGTACAATACAATGTCTTCGTCCATTTATGATTGGCTGTGACAACTTCACGTACGTTGTTGATTTGACTTTTTTTCTATATGTGTTCGTATTAGAGGCAGTATACCATGCCTGCTGTTTATATCTCATTGCACGAAGAACATAAAACATATAAAGGAGTTAGGTTGGCTGTACAAGAAACAAGAACTTCTATAATATTATGTGAAGCAACCCCTAACTGTTGGACGTCCGATTATTAAAAATTTTCTTTCAACTTTTTAGATTCAAACTTTAAAATCAGTATTAAATAGAATCTCATTAATTTTTTTTTTTAAAAAAAATATACAACAGACCTACTTTGTGCATTTGGGCACGTCCCTGAATCCAATTAGATATGTTTCAACAGATCTGCCATAAGCTCAGATGCTGTGCTACATTTAATAAATATAATGCTAAACATGGAGGACCGAAGTGTCTTTTGCGAATATTGAGATTTGAATCCTATTGTTTTCTCAATAAATTTCGGGTTTTCTAAGTTTTTTTCTTTATAGTCTAATTTAATGCAATTCCTCAACGATTTTTTTTTCCGTAAAAAAGAAAAAGAAAAAGAAGAAGCAGTAACTGCTGTTTTATTAGACCTAGTTAGTCTAATTTAATGCAATTCCTCAACGATTTTCAATTGGTTTATTCCTTTCATTAGCATCATCAATATGTGCTAGGAAATGTCAAATTAACACTTTGCATATTCTTTGGAAGGATGAAAATGATATTATTAGCTTATTAAAGTAATTAAAATCAAAGTCTTCTTCTTCTTCTTTTTTCCTGCTGTTGTAACACTTGTATAATATAAAGAAAGAAACTGTGAGATAGTAGTGGTAGAAAGTGGAAAGTTACATGCTTACAATATGCGATCAAAAGTTGGCTAACTGTCAAAGATTCAGTAAGGACCAAATAAAGGCAAGTTTTGATGGGTAATAAAAATAACTCAGAACCATAAATCCATCACTAAAGTTTGTTGTTCCTGATCGGCAACGAGTTCTTTATTGGGCCTCTTTCACGGTTTTTTTTTTTTTTTAAATCACTGGATCGATAGGATGCTTGAAATTGTTGCCTCTCTCTCTCTCTCTCTCTCTCCTTTTCTTTCAATCAAGTTTATCGAAGGAACAGATGATATTAATCAATGGGAAGTGTGAAAATAGTTCTTTTATTGAAGTCTATATCTCAGTGGGTCAATTGGGAAGAGGCCTAAACCAGGCCCATATTATACAAGAAGCCGAGAATACTCACAGCCCACAGGATGACACGAATTTTGCAGAGCTTAATTTCAATTTTTGTTTTAAACTCTTTCTTTTCCTTTTTCCAGTTCCAGGGAAAAAAAAAAAAAAAAGGAAAATTGAAACACTTTCCAATTGCATTAATCGTGATTAAGAAGCTTTAATGCTCTTTTTTTTTCTTTTTTCCTGCTGCTGCTGCTGTTGTTGTTAGGAAGAAGCTTTGATGCTAGCAAACGAATGAAAAAAAGGAAGCATAATTAAGAAAAGTAACGCTCCATGCTGTCCCCGGTAAGCCCTTTATCATTTGGAGAATATATAATGTCTCCTCTTAGCGACACAAATGGAAGCATCTTTTTTTTTTTTTTTTGGGTTCCTTTCCAAGTCTCCAGAAAGGAGAAGTCTAACCATTCCAACGCAAATTAATGATACCTTTATTAATTCCCTTCCCTTTTATTTTTGCTTTATGTATTCTACTAATATATATTCTTTCTTTATAAATAATGGAATGGGACGGAAGCGACGACAGACCGATACTGATCAATTCCCCGCATATAATACAACTAGCTAGCGCGTACTCCAAGCAATTAGCATGTCCATGGAGATTAGGGTTTTATTGTTTCTTAATTTTATGACTTTAAAACTGAATTATCTCAATTCTCAAACAATTTCAACGAGGGGCGGAACTGCACCTATCAACTATCAATGACCCAATTTTTTCATAAATTTTACGTTTACTCCTAGTATTTTGAAAATATTTTTAATTATATCCTTTAAGTTAATATTTACTCAGTAGAAAAATATATTTTTCCCCCTTGTAAATTACGTTTTATCTCTAAAACGTTCCTTCTCTTGTTTTATTTTCAAGCACACCTTAATTAAATTTGTTCCATATGGGTGTCATAACCCAATTTTTCCTTTAAAGGAAAAAATCAAAAAAGGAAAAAAAGAATAATAAAACAAAAAAAAAACAAAAAAGGAAAAAATATAAAATCTCCAAAAATCTGTTGAAATCTTCCACAAATCTTTTTTAATTAGAATCTCTTTATTTTTAGCTAGAAAAATCTCAAATTCAAGATTCGATAATTAAAATAGGAATGTGAATTCATTTTGGGAGAAATTTTAGGACGTTTTCGGCCTATAAAAAGCTTTCGGATTTCAATTTACGCAGAAAAAAAAAAAGAGAATAGGGAGGAAGGATTTGGGGTTGAGAGCGATTGAAAATCAAAAGCAAAAGGTTTAATTTTTTTATTTTTTAGTCACTGCATTTTTTTTGGGTTTATGTTCTTCGCTGTCTTGGTGTGTTCATCGGCTAAGATTGCTTTCCGTTATCCTTGACTTCTACGAGGCTTAATTCCTGAATCTTGAGTACTACCCAAACATCCACATTCATCGAAGTCATTAAGAAATTTTAACATCTTTTCCCAAGCCACAAGTTTGCCCGGGTTTGATTTAAATTTTGACGAGTCTCTATTTTTTGTATTTTTGCTTCGCCAACCCTTTAATTAGTCACTTGAATTGTTGTTAATTTGTATTCTAGTTTAGATCTTAGGCTTTAGTTCAATTGAATAAGCGAAGTTCATGTCATCTACCATCACAAAAAACAAAAAAGAGTAAAAGTTGTGGGTTAATGGTTTAGGTATATGATGATTTTTTTTTCTTTCCTTTTCTTTTATTATTCATTTATTTTTTTAGTTGTTTATTTTTATTCATTTTCATTTTTTTATATTAATTTAGAATTGTTATTTCAATTTTTTTATTTTCTTTTCTTTAATACGTATTGCTAGAAAAAATAAAAAATAATCTTAACGAAGTCTCCTATCGGATAGGGATCGACGTCATAAAAAAAATGCTTAAAAATTTTAGCGAAGCCTCCTACTTGGTAGGGACCGATGCCAAAAAAAAAATAATAATAATAACATAATCATAAATAAATAACATTGATGAAATCTCCTATGTAATAGGGACCGACGTCACAAAAAGAAAATTCAAAATTTTCGATGAAGCCTCCTATTCGATAGGGGCGACGTCACCAAAAATCACCTTTTAAGATGTCCTCCGACAAGCCGGTTGTGTCAAGGCTTTTAGTGGATCCGATGTTTGAATCGACGTGTCACCCAACGAAGGGGACCGACGATCGTTTCAATATGATGTCACGCCCAAAACTAAAAAATTCAATTTGTTAAAAAATGAGAGTTTAAAAAATCAGAAAATAATTTGACGTAAATAAAATATTTTAGGAGATAAATTTAGAGCTAAACCGGACGTGATACCTTTTTTCGGAAAGGATGCTTTTAGGTGATCGATATCTTTCCAAAAGCGTAACCAACTCCTTACTATAGAATCTCTAAACCGAGTGTCCGTTTTAGGTTCCTAGTTCCTAGTTCCTAGTTCCTTCAATACTAGGTGACGACTCCAAACTCGTAAATAAACTTGTAAATATTCAATCTAATTTTAGATATTTTCGAGAAGTCCCGTTCGACGTCGGGTAGCGACAATGAGCACCTCCATTCCTAAAATTCTAGTTTTGCCCTTTGGATTGCTTTACGCTTGTAGGCATTATTTATAGGAGACATGTAGGGCGAGGTTAAAAGGACCTTAACGGTGCTAAATTAAGCACTGAACGACCTTCGACCTAACTAGATTTCATATTGTTTGGACGTGCCAAATCAAAGCACAGACGACAAACAAAGAGCAATCGTTAATGGGTAGCTAGTTGGCCTCAGAGGAATCGAGAGCTTGACGAAAATGTAAAGAGGAAATTAAGAGTCAGCAAACCCATTTCTGCTTCCATTGGAAATCAATATAGGTGGCTGAAAATCTTAATTGAGCGTTGATATGCCCTACATCAAAGGCAACTTGCAGTCTATGAAGATCTTACCATGTCATGATTGTGTTGTTGAAATCAAGTTATGGTAGAAAACATGCCAACATAAACCTTGTTAGGGACACGAGGCTAGATTTCCATGGCAATCAATGTTGTAGTCTTACAAATTTTCGACATATGTGGCAAATTCTTTTTTTCGAATTCAGCCATGAAATGATTACATTCCTTTGTCTTCTTGTCATGTTCTTTCTTAGCGGATAATCTCAATTAATGGATGGTTAACTTTTTTCCCTTTCACGAACCAACTTGCCAGCATATCAAGGAAAATGCTAGTTGGCTCTTTAAATTCATGTGGTATATCTTTATAAGAAAACATAAAAAACTTAAATGGTATAAATATTATACCATGGTAATTTTGGAGGATTATTGACCAGAAGAAAAATAATCACCGTACCCTCAAATTAATTTAATCGTAATACATAATTTTTTTTATTGCATCATACTGATTGATATTTGCTCATAAAAAAAGGTACAAGCATTATGGAAAAGAAAACGTCAATTTTTTTCACTTGATATTCTTTTTTCTCGGATAAAAGATCAAAAGACTAATTTATTAGCAATTTGTGTAAAATTTCTATTGCAACACAAATACTAATAAAAAAATTTTATTGGCAATTTGTGTAAAATTTTTATTGCAGCACAAACACAAATAAAATACCAATGAAACATAAAAAAATAGGAAAATACAATCAAACATCAACAGTATTAAACTAAGAAAAATACATAAACTGAGCAAATATCACAAAAAAAAAAAAAAAAATTTCTAATAGCAAAAATACTAAATTATAGAAAGAGACTTAAGGAAAAAAAAATACTACTAATAGGTATAGTTAAGAAAAAACTCAAAAGAATTCTCAAAACCTAATTAGAAAATAAAATAACTAATTTATCCTAAATATTACAAGTTCTTATCTTACAATTTTCCTTGTTTCGAGGGGGTGATGCCATGATTAAGAAACTTAAAAAAAAAAAAAAATTGAAGGTTTAAGAGAAACTTTTAATAAAAAAAAAATCACGATCAGAGCCTTACCTATGAAGTTTCCGTAACCCTTTTTTCAATTGTAACAAATTCCAGTGATTCTCATCGGAATCAATGCCTTGATCTTTTGAGGGAATCTAGTCCACCTTAAATAAAAGTGGTTGACATACCAGGTCAGTTGCATACATCGATTGACATCATAATTCCTCGATAAAAAAGTCTTAGAGATATTACTCCATTGGTTTTGCAGTTTAGAGGTGGGCAATTGACGTCCATGCATTCCTCTTGGAGAGCCATGATTGGATTAAAATAATACTCTTTTTCATATATAAGTAAAACCTCACCTAACCAGATTGCTACAGACGTTACATATGTAGTTTGCTTGTAAAACTTGATAATCCTCCTGTGGATATTGGATAAAACAACATTTGTTGTTACCTCATTTGCCTGCCAGTTACTTTTAACATGACAAGAGTAAAACTTTTGGATAAATTGATTGAACTCGTTAAGATAATGCATCGTATTTGTGTAAAACAAAAAAACCTCTGCCTCGTCATGTAGTGATTCCATGTACTTGACCTTTTTCTAGTAACTTACGGCAAACTTAGCACCGATGAACATCAGAGATGAAGAAATTCACGTAACCCTATCTCCCAAATCCAACAGCAATACCACTTTTTGGTCTCGCAGAACCATTATATGGAGGTGAAGAAGATATGGAACTTATCTTTAAGAAGTTATCCTTTCTTAAAGCGAAGAAGTTATCCTTTAAGTTACCTCGGCAAATACCAACTTTCCACTTAAGCTGATTTGCAAAATTGCGCATAGATAAGAAATAAGATGAGTCATTTTCCTTGACACACATGGCAAACGCCCAGATGGTTGGTAGTTATGTTGCTGTCAACAACCAAGTAATTCAATTATCTGATCGACCGCCATTTGGGGGGCCATATGAATCAAGGTTTTTGATAATTAGGTCCTCCAAGCTACATCTGTAAACAATCTGGTGTATATCATCCAAAATCTTCACATGGTAGCTCTCTCAAGGATAGTTAAATAATTTAATTTTAATTTCAGGTGCAAATTATAGCATAGTTGCAAGTCGAGTTTTATAAGGCTGGCTTTAAAATCTCGTCAAAAAAAAAAAAAAAAATTGGAGACCAAAAGTACTTTTTTGAAATTTTTAAGGCCTAATCACCTATGAACCTTATAGATGACAATTCAACTATGCTTTTGCTTTCCTCCCCACCCTTGCTAAATCATTAGTATAAGATCGATTAAAACAATATATAAAACGGATTGACATGATAATTAAGAGTACTTTGTAATCATTAAGATTCAAATTTTAAATTAAATGATGAAAAATCATACTTTTTATAAAAAATAAAAAAAATTATTTCCAATATAAATACTTCGTCTTTGATTGAATACGAGAAACACAAACTTTAAATTTTAACGAGCAAAGTTTGTTCGAAAATACTCAATTGTCCATATCCATAATATATATATATATAAAAAAGATTATGACAAGGCATATCACAAACAAAGTGATCAATAAGATTTGTTTTGCCTCTGCGAATAAATAAAGCACTGCGCTCTTTGGTATTTATATCGTTCATACATGGGCGACAATGAAATGACTAATGGGCAGTACCAGGAATGCATATCGGTTTTTTCATAAGTAAATATCAGCGTGGAAAAGGTGAATAGAGTATGGCCAGAGATATTTATGCCTTTGTTTATTAAAGAGATAATGCAGGACTTATTTTATTATGGAGCAGATAGTTCACGGTCTGGGTCTACTATAGTCATTCAAGGAAGTGATTAAAAGTGAGTTCGCTCTTTTTGGAAGAAGCTTCTCTCCTAATTACTGCTATCCCCTGTCCTACCAGCAATTATTCTTCCATGCTCTTTTATGGGACGCATTTCCTAAATTCATATTATATAGAGATTGATTTGTACGGTACTAATTGGAATACTAAGGAATGCTAAATTAAATGGACACTGATATAATTTGAGAAGGTTGGCTTGATAATAATAATAAAAAAAAAGTATGCTTCCTTTTTATATATTAAGGTTCAAATCTCACGATAAGTTGGAAAATATAAAAATTTCAATAATAATAATAATAATTATTATTATTATTATTATTCCAACCACGATCGATAGACTGTATTTGAGATCACAATCAAATAATTGAAAAAAAAAAAAAAAGACAAAAGGGCCTTTCTCATTCGATTCCTAGTATTTTCCTAGTTTGCAAGTACAATGACTGATTTCGTTCAATACGAAGACCTGACCTCACCTCACCAGTTGGCTCTTTCCGTATTGTTAGCAATCAATGATGTAATTTTGTCCTATATAGCTATTAGATCCCAGTTCAAATACATTCAGGAGGATAGAAATGGGTTGAAATTAGATAGAGCTTTTTCTTGATGCATTTAATTACCGTTTGTATCTGCGACAACATTAATTATTCCATCATGTTAATAATCAGCATCTCTTAATGTTAACGAAATTGGCAAGTAATTATGAGGTGATCATATGCTTTAATTTCAATATGTATACATAACAAAGTTAATTAATTTACTAAGCATTATAAATACATTGATGGATATCTCTCGCAAGGGAAAACCTACATGCCTAGAGCATAGCCTAAACTCTCAGTAAAAACCCAAACCCTTCCTACTCAGCTACTTTCACAAAATAGCTAAACTAGTCCTAATTAATTAAACAGCAAACCTTATGAAAAAAAAAAAAAAAAAACATATATGCTAGCTCTTCCATTTTTCCACTGAAATTAAATTTCCTACATAATGGAACATGCATTAGGGTTTTCATCACTAAACATAGATGTAAATTGTTCATCTGGTGCGTTGGGGCCAGGAACTGCTTGAGCCACATTCCTCACATAGCCTGGAGGTGCTTTCTTATCATAGGCTTGAGCAACATAAGGATAAGCCACCAAATTGTATGGGACATATGGCCAAAACTCAGCTCTCTTTCCTGTGCTCTTCACCCTCTTTAAGACCTTGTTTGGCTCAACATATCCATTGACTGTTACCCGGCTTTGCTTTCGGTTCACATCTACTGATTTAACCCCTAACAATAAAATAAAAAAAAAAACATAAGAGTTACATTAATATGATGTAAAGTAAATATTAATAATAGGTGTGCTTATTGTAGTTAAAAGAGTTCATGATTCTTGTTTCAAATGACTAGAGATTATGTAGCTGGTTCTTTTACAACCTTATGAGTTGAAGGTGCGTATTGTATTTGGTTGGTGCCATTTAATATTGCAATATGCACTGAGCTGCAAAAGTGGGCTCTAAATGATGTCTTTTTCTGCCAATAAGTGATACAAACAGTGCTTCTAAAATCTCTTAAGGTAAATAATTGCTGTTTCCAGCAATAATTTTGCTTATTTCAGACTCTATTGCTTTGTCCACAATGAAAAAGGAGTCCATGAAATTTTCCTTGGAGACATATTAGAAGAACATTTATTTAAAGTGAATATAAGTAGCAAAAAGATGTCAGGAAATAGCAACCTCTCTGCCAAAAAACTATGATGTCAAGAGTTTTAAAAGAGACAACAGACTAAAAAAAAAAGACTTGTTAGATTTCTTCCAGTTTCCCATACGAGGAAGCTCAGAAAATCTGGTTATGAATCTTTGACTTCTATTATATATATAGAGAGAGAGTGAAAAAAATAATGGGCTTGGATCCTTGTGTGCATGCCTTTACTTTGGGCAAAAAGAACCCCCTGAAATGATGTAGATTTGAACATTTTGCTTAATGAAAATCGAAAGAAAAAAGTTCTCTCGTATATTATATTCTTTTGAAAGAAGATCAACGTAGGCCTTTTGCGTGTATAGCTTCGTTGGCCAGCCTTTGATAGGTTCCAGACTTCATTAAATGATTTCTACATACATGGAAAGCACTGAGATGTTTTCACTCTTAAAGTTTTGTAGTGCTATTCAAGCTTTGTTATATCCTAGCTGGCTTCGTCTAAAGACCTCCCTTCTTCTCTCTTTGTGTATTAGTATTATGTATAAAAAACTTGTAGGGAAAAGAAAACAAGAAGAGAAGTTTAAGGTTAAGATATGAACCTTTCATGGAGGAAACAGAATGTTTAACCCTCCGTTCACAGCCATCACAGTCCATTTTCACTTTGATATCAACTGTCTGAAAAGGAGAAAAAATACTTGAAATCAGTAACCAAGAACCAGTAACACATATATAGAGAGGAATATTAGACCAGATTGTTTGTAAAGGATCAGTACCTGCATTGGTTTTCTCTTCCTCTTCCTCTTGGCAACTGTAAATAAGTCAGAGAGGTAATCTGAGAGATCGTCAAGAGCACCCATTTGCTTCTCAAAGAACAAGCTAGCTAACAGAGAGTTTTTTTTAGTGTGTTTGTGTATGTGCGCGTGAGAGAGAGAGAGAGAGAGAGAGAGGGAGGGAGGGAGATATGCAGGAGAGACTTCCAAGGGATGAGAGTTTATGTAGTGATATTAGTCTATTTATAATAAGGTAAAAAAATTATGGTGGATTTGGAGTGGAACCGTGTTTGCGCAAGTTGTCTTTATTAAATTGAATTAATCAAAACTAAGACAATGATTTGTGTCCCTTAATCATCCCATTCTTCGAAATATCATGGCAGCACAACTCAACTAAACACATATGGATTTGGGTTTTTGCTTGGCTCCTAAATACTAACATGAATTAAAAAAATATTTTAAAGGAGTTTCTGTCTTGGTGGCTTGCTTATATGATAGGCTAACGGGGGATCGCTGTTATCTTGCTGTTTTCTTTGGCCAGAAGAAAGGGAGGAAACTGTTGTAAAGTCTGGCTGTTAGTTTTGACTTGCCGCCCCGTTGTCTACAGTACCAATACGTGGGAGACTATATTAAAAATAGAGTAGCAAGAAGAACAGTAAAAAAAAAATTCTATCTGGCTTTCAAAATTTTTAATCATTGCTCCATATCAGGGAGATCATCGTCGTGAATCATGATCATTAACATATCGAAAGGGTCCCCAGGTAATGATCTTGTGGCAGAAATTTATGGAGAAGCACCCATCCAATTTTTATAGTGCTTCGATGTTCTCCTTCCATGCAAAGCCAGACCCAGACGTATGTACTTAACTTTTTTGTGAAACCTACCATTATTGTTAATCTCAGTATAAGATGGTCAATCTTACCAATAGTATAAAATAGTAGTATTAAAAAATATTAATGCTATTTATAATTTTTTATTGTTATTATTTTTGTGGTAAAGTTTCCTTGAAAGATCAAGCCTGTTGCATTAATTTTGATGCACTGACAGAGACAGTCGATTTTCAAAATGCAAAGACCTTCAAAGGGATCAAATCGTATTGAATTACCTGGAGCCCACCTGTCCTCCATCATTGAAATCGCAATGGAAAAAGTTTGATCCAGCCATTCTCTCTTCCATACACGGTTTTAATTAGTTGTATCCATAGTGTAAAAAATGGTATTGGGCAAGACATTCATGATTCCAGTTCTGCGTAAATGAAATGGTTGACAGAACAACGCACACACGCATCGGTTTGTCATGTGTGCGAAGAACAAAAAATTTTGTAAACAAGTTATGAAAAACAAAAAATTAAAATAATTACGCAAGAACTAATAATTAGGGATATAACAAAATGATGAAACTTATAGTCAAAATTTTGATCAAATCTTTTTTTTTAAATCAGAAAATAAGAAAAACAGCCTGCCACGTTGTTGTTGTTTTTTTTTTTTTTTTTAAACAATTAAGCGATGTACAGGAGTTCTAAGATTTTTTTAAACTTGTTCAATCAATGGGAAATGTAATTAATGAGAGGGGGTCTATTACTAAAGAATATTTCTAAGCTTTTCCTATCGATCTCATGCTAAGTCACATAGTATAAATTAATATGGCGTCCACTCCAGAAAATTTGTATGGTTTACAAATCGAACGGACTCTGGCCTCAATTATCACACTGGTATGTCCTTTTCTTTAATTATGTATTTCGGTTCAATGATTCAATAAGCAACTGAAACAAGTTGGCACCACAGATGCCTTTCAATTTGCTAGCGGTTCTTCAATCAATGGGAAATGCATTCAATGAAGAAATATGGTTCTCCTCTTTTGTCTTGTCTTGTATTACACCCTAGCAAACGGAGTGTTCACTGTTTATTTATTATTCACTCGTATTTATTTTATTATTTTCCTATGTAATATTTACTTAATATTACTGTATTCGATTTTATTGTGATTTTTTGTTTTTATTTGGGCATTTGGTACGGACACATGATGACTTTTTGCCTTTATTGCACTTATGGTTACTAATTTTTTCTAAAATATTTATTTTAATTTCTTACTTAATTTATATGGTGACTGAGATTCTGGAGGTAGAAGAAAAAAGAGAGAGAAACTCAAAATAAGACTTATTCCAGTCATCTTGACCGTCAATCTTATTCTGGAGGTAGATTTCTAGCAATCATGCCTTCATCGGAAGCTGCAGTCTACCGATGCATTGTCCACTATTTCACTTTTTTTTTAAAGAGCTGGCCAGTGCATACCCTGTCCGTGTACATGTGGGCCTGGTTCTGCAAGCCCAAGGGTGCAGGTTTGGGTCCAGCTTTTTTTATTATTATTATTGCTTTTTCTGGGTCTTTTTATTTTTGTCATTTGATTTTGAGTTTAAATTTTTTATTTAACGGATAATCAAATGTCAAAAAAAAAAAAATTGAAGTGAAGTTTAGTTCAGTTTGCAAATAGGAGGGAAACATGAATCATGTGATATTTGAGGTTTCTTTAGTACGTGAATAAGAATGTCGTCCACTTGTCATGCTAGCATCTCTCCTCTTTATATTGTCATACATAACTGTGCTCATATTTAATTTTAGAACATAATATATTCATCAAGATGACTTGCTACTCTAATTTATTTTATAATAAACAAGATTGATTGATAAGAAATTTCACTAAGCTTTCCCAATATCAAGGGCGAGACTTTTCTAAAAATATTATGCACTATATTATTATTAATTTAGCCGTGGAAGAAATTGTATAATTTGGTTAGCAAAACGAGAGAAGCCACGTAGCTAGACAAAGCCCGATGACTTGGACCAGTTAACCCTGAGATGCCTCTCTATGGATTACATTTGTAAATGGTGACCCTTTAATCCCCAGATAGCCCTCCATATCCATAGGTTAGAAATCTTAAAAATTTTGGTTGACTGAGTATTTGTTGAGTTACTTGAAAAAGGAAGAAAGGAAGAAAAGAATGTGCGTTGAGCGAGTAACATGGCAAGTACATGTTTGCATATTCGCACTCTATTACCAGCTTCTTAAGGTAAGGTTATTTGAAATTAGTTCTTGTGGTTGCCAACTTTTCATATTCTAATAACTAATTTTTTTAATTTTGTACTACTGAATTGAGATTAATTTCAATGTAAAACTCGAGTTTTAGAGTTGAAAAGTAATTGATATCAGTATTAGTTCATCAATTAGGGGAAAAAAAGAAGAATTAAATACACCTTGTATCTCTATATTAAATAAAAAAAATATCGTTATAACTTCTTTATCCAAATATAATTCATAAAAAATATTATACTATATATTAGACATTGGTGCAAAACAATTTATTTATTAACTTTCTTTGTCAAATTGATCGATTTTTATAAGTTAACTAACGTTTGACCAATCAAATGACAATACGTTTTAATTTAAAAGTAAAAATATAATTTTTTTTAATAATCATTATTATAAAATTATTAATAATTAAAAAATTCCAATTTTTTTAAAATAATAATAATAAACATTTTTTAATAATTTAATAATTATTATTATTAAAGAAAATTTAAAAAAATGTAAAGAATTTATTTTTCAATTTTTAATTGTTTCATAATAAAGAAAATTTGAAATGAAAATCTAAAGAAAATTTTAATGATCATTAATTATTTTGATAAAATTTATTATTATTAATTTTAACAAAAATAGAGAGAAACAGAAAAAGAAAATTAAAAAAATTGAGCGAATATGAAAATCTTCATCACTTTTGATAAATTCGATATAATTTTATGTGTCTATCTCTCTCTAAATAGATTCATATAACAACTACTATATATAACATTTTTTTACAGTTTCCTGTTCTTTCACTTTTCCATAGCAAAGATTCATGTACCTATGACGTTATTGTTTATGCCAATTGTCGAGAATATATAATCACTTTCTTGCCCCACAATTTAATCATAGCTTGCTGGAATTTTACGTGAAATAATTACCCGTTGAACAATATAATTTCTTCTTGTCTGCAAATGTTTGGAAGGCTGACTGGCTAGAGATCTTCCTTGAAGTTTTATGTACAGAAAGCGACTCCCAACTTAATATTGTTTGACCATAAGATAATCAAAGAATAAAATAAATCCATTTAATTAAATAATGAAACTCATTTTTCTTTGTATTTATATTAACTCTTAATAGATTTAAAACTTGTCTAAAGAAATTTTTAGCTGGTTTTCTGAACAATAAATATTCTTAATATCTAGTTTCAAGCAAAATCATCCATGTTCAAACTAATACATTAAAAATAAATTATTTCTCTTATGTTATATCTTAGGATTCCAATAGTAATATGTGAAATGATACAATTATAAAATGCATGAACACCCTGAAACGCAAAATCAAATATTGTATTATAAAATAAGCTCTATAACATATATATATATATATATATATATATATATATATATATATATATAATTAATTAAAAGTATTGAAAAGGTCATAATCCGTCTTCGATCTTCTGCCAAAATTGCCAGCTTAATCCGTCTGTTGTATTGATCAGGATTAATAATAAATCCGTCAGTTGTATTTATAACTGACTTTTGATTCCAGCCCCCTAGTAACAAATCCCACTCCTCCACGTGTAAATCTCTTTCCCGCCAGAAACACTTTCCCTCCAAAGCTAACTGTCTCCCTCCTTAAACCCTCCAGAGCTAACCACCTCTCTCCTTAAATTCTCCAGAGCTAACCACCTCCTTGTTGAACAGACACCATTTCTCTCTCCCTCTCTCTCTCTCTCTCTCTCACTGCAAAGCCAGAAACCGAAAACCCTAAAAAAGGAAACAGGGAACTCTAAGAGCTTCAATGGCAACCCAATTCCTCATCTCCATCTTTCTCCTTTCTCTCCTCATCTCTTTCTCGTCCTCTCTCCCTGCATCCAGCATTCTTGATGCTACCCAAATCCTCTCAAATTCAGGCTATGTAGCCATGGCTCTCATTCTTGAATTTGGCTCTCAAACTGATTTAATTCCACCATCTCAATTTCTCACTATCTTCTCTCCCTCTGATACTGCATTTGCTCAAACTGGCCAACCCTCTCTTAATCTCCTTCATTTCCACTTCTCTTCTCGCTTTTTATCTCTTAATTCCCTCAAATCTTTCCCTCCTGGCTACAAGATCCCTACTTTTTTCTCCAACCACTCCCTCGCCATCACTTCTCATGCTGATCGTCAAGTCTCAGTAAATGGTGTCAAGATTAATGGGTCGGCTTTATATGATGATGGACGTTTAGTAATCTTTGGAATTGACAGTTTTCTTGATCCAGATTTCAGGGTTTCTGGGTCCAATATTGGAAGTCCTAGTGGAATTCTTGGATGTTCTGCTGCATCCGGTGACGGCGATTACTCGTTTGTGGAGGCTAGCAGGGTTTTGAGATCAAGAGGGTACTCTGTTATGGCCTCGTTTCTTGATTTGCAATTGGCAGAGTTTAAGGACCAGACTATGTTAACGATCTTGGCTCCTGTTGATGAAATTGTGAAGGGTTTTATGGGTGATTTCGGTGAGTACCGTTCAATATTTCTAAGGCATGTTGTGCCTTGCAAGATTTCTTGGAGGGATTTGGTTAATCTTGATGATGAGTTGGTGTTGCCTACATATTTGAAGGGATTTGAGATAAATGTAACTACATCTGGTACTTCCTTGATGTTCAATGGAGTTGAGGTCATTATTCCTGAAATTTTTAGCAATAGTTGGCTTGCTGTTCACGGTCTTGAGGGCAGTTTAGTGACGCAAGAAGGGAGCGCAAGCAATGGTGAAAAGATAACAGTGGATTCTAAGGTCCTAAAGCTCTTGATAGCCTTCTCTTTTCTGTTTCTGGGTAGCTTTCGTCTGAACTCTATTTTTTGAGTGCATTCATTCACTGCCACTTTCCTGTCCCTTCTTGCAAAATGGTTTTGGCCAGGTTCTAAGTTGTTAGTGACCTGATGTGAAACAAAGTAACTATGCTGTGATATTGTGAATTGATGCTTTTTTTGAAATGAAGTTCTTCCCACTCTTTCGAGCTGATGGATGCAATGATATAACTGATTCATGCATGATTCAATTGATATACGATATAATTTGAGATCATTGATATGCTTGTATGGGCATCTAGTTTTTTCAATTGATATGAGATTATTGGTTTTATATATCCTAGTTTGAGCCAGTCTTAAGTGTGAAGGATCTGTTTTAAGAATCAAACTCTACTGCCTTTAGTTCTTTTATTACTATCTCTAAATCTTTTGGCCTTCATTTTGCGGAGTGGAGCTGTGAATGATATTATATCAATTTTGTTCAACTATGTGCAATTTTGCTTCCAGAGGACTGTGGCACATAAAAAAAGTGATATGGCTGCGAATGCTATTGAAAGGGCCCTCTCAAGCAATTGCATGGTTTTCCTTAACTTGTGTTAAAAATGGTCAATAATTAAAGACTGAAGTAATACCTGTAGACTAATCAATTTTCCTGGTTGTGTCAGTAGTTTTTGTATGAGATATAATATTTGAAACAGTGATTGCTTTAGTCTTCCTGCCAACCCGATGATACTAGCAGCACAGGCTCTCAATGGGAAGACGATTATCAGCTCTCCATCATTATGTTCAATTTAACTGACTTGTGTTGCTCAAGTTACAATACAAATCACTCTTTTAATTTCCAGAAAGTGTGATTGTACCATCAAGAATGGAACCAAAAGATGCAGAAAGCTTGATTCCTGCATTATCACCACTGATGACTGCGGCCTCAATTAAAGATTTTAACACCTTGATTTTATGCTTCATTTTCTTTTGAGGGAAGGGACGGTTATTGAAGTGTAATTTTTATCCCATAAAGAGGAACTATAAACTATTGCATTTTGAAGCAGAAATGCAGAAACAGTGAGCAGCTCTAATAGTTCTAGCATCTGGAACTTGAGAAGTAAACCACAGCCACAGGAAAATTTTAAAAACCAGTATGGATCTAACCTCCTTTGTAAATAATGAGTGAGCCCTAGAAAAAGGGCAGCTGCAATCTCTGGGCAGATATCATGTATCAAGTACTGCAAATTTTTAAAGAGGCAGGGCAAAGATGATGTCTTATTCACGAAGCATGACGACAACTTAGTTCTTCTGTTTTTTTGTTTCTTAGATGTTGGTATATGACATAGTTTACCAAAACGATTGTGTACATGCATGAAACAATATGATGCAGTCAAAGCCTTGCCCAAGTCTAGCTGTTAAGACGGGAAATATGCAAGATTCTCTATGTAGCACCCGCTTTTAGTTAATATGAAAAACTGAAGGGTTGAGACTCGAGAGAATGGTTGGAACTTTGTCGTCCTCAAAATAGAGCAAATGTGGTGGCTACAGAAAGTTAAGAGACAGACATTTGTTATAACTGGTAGAATAATTGAACCTCTTGAATTTCTCATTTATTATTCCGATGCTCCTCTGAAATATAGTACTCAATATGGCAACCAAGAAATCAACAGTATCCAAACTCTGCAAATCTCTGACCACATAAAGTTGTTTATTACAAGGCTATGTGCAAAAGGATACTTATTCTAATCGACACCAAGCTCAGATGAAGAGTGATGGGGCAGTTTAGAGACCGTTAAGACAAAAAATGCATACATTCATAGAAATTGATGGGTGTATAGCAGCATTAGGCCTTGTTCCTCTAAATGCAAACCAATATATATGCTGATTATCCGATCAAATAGGGAAATTCAGTGTCATCTGTCATAACCAAACAATCAGTAGCACTGAATCTTGAACAGATTTGATAAGGAAAGGAAAAACTTGAACAGATAACAACACTAAATCCTGAACAGATTTAATATGAGGAAAACATTGGAAATAATATTTCATAAAATCAGGCCAATGTTGAAAGCATTTCATACCAGTACCAGTCCAAATCCTCTTAATCAGCACTAGATAAGATGTGTCAATCAGAGTTTGTTAAAACCTTGAGACGGATCAATTTCCAGTACCCCATAGCATCCCTCCCTGGCCTCAACTAACTAATGGAGCTCTCCTTAGCTTATCAAGCTTCCGCTCAAAAAGCACAACAATGTCCTTCTTGCCCTCATCAAGAAGATTTTGTTTGAGATTACTAAACAACTGTGCTGGAGGCCGAATACCCATATCCAACATCTCGTGAAAGTACATGCAAGTCTCATCTAGCTTATTCTCATGGCACAAACTGTTAATTAATGTAGAGAACATATGCATAACAGGAAGGACTCCCTTGGTCTTCATCTGATCCCAAACCTTTATTGCCATATCCACTCTATCCTCATTGCAAAACATCCTCACTATAATCTCATAGGTACTCACAGTTGGCTCACATCCCTCACTGCTCATTTTCTGGAAAACTGAATAAGCCATTTTAGTTTTTCCAGCCCTTATCAGATGGTGAAGTATAATATCGTAAGTTCTCGCATTTGGACCAACCCCACCTTTTCTCATCTCTTCAATTGTCCTCTGCACATCATCCATTCTCTCTGACCAGCAATAAGCTCCCACAACAGCATTGTAAGTAGGTGCCTCTGGAACAAACCCGCTAGCCTTTGATCGCTCAAAAAATTCAAGTGCTTCACTCAACCTCTTTTCAGCTCCCAAGCCATTAATCAAAGTACAATATATGTGAGGACTAGGATTGCAATTTTTCGCTTCCATCTCAAGAAACAACTCGATTGCATCATCATGCCTTCTAACTTTACAGTGTGCATTGATAAGAATACCGTAAGTGACAACATCCGGTTCAAAGCCCTCATCTTTCATTTCGTTGTAGACTTCAGTCAGCCGCGACAAGTTCTTCTCTTGACCCCAGCCTTCTAGCAATATCGTGTATGACTTAATATCAGCGACAAATCTTCTCTTATTCATTTTATCAAACACCAATTGTGCTCTCTCCACCTGCCTCGACTTGCACAAAGTATCGAGCAATCTATTAACATCTGATGATTCAATCTTCAATCCAAACTTCTCCATTTTCATAAATGCCTCTACTGCTTCTTTAACTTTCCTTGCTCTTGCATATCTCCTTGAAATCAGTGCAAAAGTTTCTTTAGTCAATAACCCTTTTTGGTTCATGTCAGTAACTAACATCCATATAACGTTAAACTGCTTGATCTTTCCTAGAGATTCAATCAAGGCATGGTAGCTCTCCGTGCTATATTGAAACCCTTTTTGATTCTCTGCCCATCTAAAGAACGATAATGCAAGAGCACCTGCATTGCTTAGCTTCTTCACTACCTCAAAAACCAAACTTGGTGACACTTCAATAGAAGCCTTATTGAGCAAAGCCTCAGCGCTAGAATTGGGACTTTTTGACAAAAATTTGCAGATATTTTCAGCGTCTTTAACGATTTTATCAACTAAAACTTGTGGGGTTTCGTTGTTGCCATAAATGAGGACAAGGGTTTGCTGTAAATCAGCATGGATTGACCTGTGGGCAGTAAAATGAGGATTTAACAGAGACCCACATGGGTTTTCAATATTGGGTGTTGCATTGAAAGATAGATTTTGGTTTTTGATGTTTATAAATGATCTCAAGGCAAGAGGAGGAGGAGAGTTGAGAAGAGAGGTGGTTTTTGGTGTTCTTGATAGAAAATTGGAGAATCGAGAGAGACCCATGTTTGATGAGAGAATCAAGTTTAGCGAAACGAAGTTAACTTTGAGAATCTGAATGGAAGATACTTAGGTTTACGTTGGCGGGAAGCGGGCACTACTGACTAGAAGAAGTCCTGAAAGCCCTCAAAAGGAATTTAACAGACATTTTAGACATGTTTGTTATTTTTATACACCCTAGTAAGTTTACATAAATAACAACATTATATACTATTATCGCTATATAATTAGTAAACTATTATGTGTGTAATTAATTTTTTTCCTCATAAATTCAAGTATTATTATTGTATAATATTAAATTATTAGAAATGCTATTAATTTTTTTCCCCATAAATTCAAGTATTATATATAATACAAAATTATTAGAGATGTTTGAATAATTTATAAAACTACTAAAAATATATAAATTAAAATTATTTTATTGACAATTGCTAGTTTATTTATGTATTTACAAAATTAATTGTCACAATGATTATTTTACTATTGCAATTATAATTTCTATTGTTTTTACAACTACATCTGCAATTTAAAACAATGATTCAAATGATAAAAAGAAATGACTTGTTTAATTTAACTGAGTTATCTTAACGACATATAAATCTATTTGTACCCCCATTTTCTGTAGAGAAAAAAAAAAAAAAGTCCTCCACCTCAAGTCCTTCATCAGATTAGATAGTCTCAAAATATATCTACTGCCACAATTTCTCCATGAGTACTCAATTTATGAGCACAAACATCATGTTTGTATTGCTGGTTCCGCTGCACCTCATGCACCTATTCAACACAACGTATCAGAAGAATATTACCTCCATTTTCAAGTTTTTGACCAATGACCCGTTAGTCCATTGGGCTGAGTGGAGAAAAGCTACAGGTGGTGGTTAAATGAGTTATGCTTTCCTGGTTTAATCCTTTCTTGCCAATATAAATATACATATGTTGGGAGGGGAGGGAGGGAGGGAGAGAGTGCAAATAAGAAATTAATGAATGAGCTTCTGTTACAACTTTTGAAGAGTACTAAAGAACAGATTGAACATACAAGGGCGTGCTGATGGCAGCATTAAGAGGGAGATCCTCTTATTGATTCACGCTGTTGCTGGCTCTTCAATGGTATCAGCCTCATGACAAGACAATTCAGAAAAATCTCCAAGTGAATTCACTTGTTTCCCTTCGACTCTGTCATTCCTATAAACACTATCATCTGCGTGCGGAGTAGCCCAATAAATGGACCTAAACTGCTAAACACCAAAGAATCAATATCTATTGATGGTCATCCTCAGAAGTGGTTGACAAAATTCAGATGCGAAAAAAAAATGGCACCGAGCATCATACAATAAACCTTTAATATTGGCATTTTTCATTTGCACTGATTCATCTGAGAATTCCATTGATCAAGAAGGTCTTTAATGGTCTGCTCAAATTTCTTAGCCTGAGGACCAGGTTTCACAACATTTACATCACCCCATTGGGAGCAAGGATCCATCCACCAGGTCCTCCTGCCAGTGCACCATGCACCAGGGGCAGCTCGATTGCGCCCTCGCTTAAGGATTTTCTCATCAACCTTGTCTAGCACAGGGTCATCCTTCTGAAACTGCCTTGCAAAAGCCACTCCACCTTGAACCATCAGATCATAATCAGACGTATTAAGAAAATGGGGTTCCATCTTTGGAGGATTGTCCCAGACCATATACCTTAGATCACTGTTTACAGTTGTGTTCATAAACTCTGGTGCATTGCAAATGACAGAGTGGAAATAGCTTTCTTCAGATAAGACCACGTTGTTGAAGTACATAAGAAGAGTTCGGGGAAGATTATCCCAACCAAGAATGCAAAATTCAAGAAATGGTCTGCTCAAGATGACCCATGGGGAACCTGCAGTAGGAGAGAACGGTTACCACACGTAGCATTTCCACAAAAGTAAGGCACACACATAACTTTAATTTTAGTTGCATAAACAGCGTGCCATGGAGAATAGACTTTGCCTGTGAATACTTTGAAACCATCAGGAGTTGGTCGCTTCTCTGTAGCATGAAATATCTGGCTCCTCCTGGCTAGGTAAATCCCTGGGTCAACTACAATTGGCTGAATTCTTTGAGAGCTACAACAAAGTGAAACCAATAGAACTCAAATACAACTAAATCTTTGTGCCTCAAAAGTATAATAAAATTTAGCATGGAGAAGTTGCCTACTCTTTCCACCCAAGGTCACTGGTGTGATCTATGAAATTGAGGTCTCTGCTAACAGAGGAGAACACATGGGACAAATCTGCAACATATCAGAAGAAAATATTGGAAACTCAGAATATTATTATGAAGCAAGATGACACCACACAGTGAGATCATAACTAGAAATGAATGGAATTATTTTCCAACAGCCTAAAAAATTTCAACACTTCGGTGTACTTGATACTAGAGGCTTGTTGGAGAAATATAAAGCACATATGAGAAAAATAGTTCTGCTAATAGTAAATAAATAGAGACGAAGTTACTCATTATCAATTGATTCCCAGTTAATTAGAATATAACTTAGTAGATGAGTTTCTAAGTAAGCATTTGATGAATTAAATCAGCTTCAACTTTCACACGTTATATTCACCTGCATTCTTAAGCCTTCATAGCCATTCATATGTGCAATATGGCCAAGGACATCGTTGCAGTATGATTTATATAGCAATGACAAGGCCTCACATGTGAACATAAAGTTGATGGCTACAAAATCTTTAACCCACATCTAATGTATTGTGCTTTTGTAAAGCTGTGAAAGGGCCTCAGGCATGTGCATCAAATTGATGGATACAGAATCTCTATGATCCACATCAAATATATCACCAGAAAAGAAGCAGGCTCCAAAGCAACAAGGGGTTATTGAAGGTATAGACAGCTCATCAGCAACTCTTCATACCAATAACCATTGCCAATGATGCCCTTACTTCTGTAATGATAAAGGATGGCACTGTATTATGCTTTTATACAGCTGTGAAAGGACCTCAGGCATGTGCATCAAGCTAATCGCATTCTAATAAACTCTTTTAAACATTATATTTCATAGCAAAGATGACACCAAGTCACCAACCATTCCAGAAGTATGAATCAATATGCAAAACCTTTAATGGAGTTATTCCAAACAATATCTATAGTCTTCTATCCAATCACATTACTATTTTAAAACATACTTCTGGTATACATTCACTCATGGTCCTCTGTTGTAGCGAAATAGCTTTGATGCCCTGCCAACACTCTAACCTGAAAATTTAAAAAACCAGTATGCAAATTCTACACATTCTGGTTCTGTCGTGCCTCTTCAAAGTAAAAGCTCCTTAGTAAAAGAATATGTATCTAAAAGTTGATGAAAACATTACATCTGCAATTCAAAACCACATTTATATGTCTGAGTCCTCTATGAAAAAGATGTAAAAATTTTAAGTGTGGCATTTGGGCACCCTCATCCTCAGGAGTGAAAATGAAAATACAGTAACAGTGACGACATGTCCTATAATCATCTCTTGGTCCCAACCAGGAAAAGAGCATTAACTGATGCACTGAGGGCATCCAGGAGGTAAGACTAAAATAATGAGTGAGCTTAAATATCAAAGCATGATTGCTCTCAAGAATCCAACTTTGTGCACATGAAGATTTGATCTTATTCCAGAGCTAATGCCCTTTAAATTATATGTCTTCGCTTAATGCTGCTAGTCCTACAATCATCAGACCAGCTCATCTAACTTTTCTTAGTAGACACAGCCAACCCCCAACCCGCCCCATCCAAAACAAAAAGAAAAATCTCTGTTGCATGCATGCATTCTGCAGTACGCAATTCAAAGACCTATGTCAAGAATACTCTAAAGCCCATACACAGTAGGTGAACACAATGTTGTAAGTGTAAACCCATGAATTCTTGCAAACTCAGAATGATGTTTTCCAGTGGTATCCATCAACATATCCTATGTTACACATGTGCCGTATGTAAGTTGGAAAATCATAGAAGGCTGCTGGTTGAGCCAATAAAGCAAATATCCTAACTTACAAAACTTCATCCTGATACCAAAATGAAAAAGTAAAAAACACCTTTAGACTACAAAGAACCACAAATGAAGAATCATTTTTAGCTTCCGGCTCAATTGAGAATTCAAACAGCCTTTTCAGAGCCCATTGTACAAAGTAGACTGGGGTTGGAACTTGGTGCTCTATCAACCTACTGTAATTCACGGCACAAATCAGTGTGCATCCACAGTTACAAGTTATAATGTGGTGGACCTCATCCTGGATAGCATGCAATAATTATTAAGTCAAACTTTAATAAAAACTTCCGTTCTTACAAAATCATCCTTCATTACACCTGGCATGGCACCCTACTTCACTATACTCTTAACCAACATTCTAGCAGGTCCAATAAAAGATTCCTTTTGTGTGGGCTTATGCACAGAAGTTGTCCAATCCTAGATTTAACTCCAGGGTTACAGCGACCCTTAGGGTTATGGTTAGCTGCTTCATATTGGTAATATAAGCTGTTCTGGTAAACAGCATGGCCACTAGTTTACAAAGTTTATCTCAACTAAAGGAATATGAATCTAGAATCTTTGCATAAAAGTAAACATATGTAAACAATATTTTCTCCCCATATCAGATCCTACCAGCATTGTGGCCTATATGGCATCATTCATGCTGGCTTCTAGTACATTGTGGACTGCAGGTAACCTTGTCTAAGGTAGTCAAAGGAAGCACAACCAGCCACATTTTAAGTGTTATGGTTCAATGGAATAATCTAGCCTACTAAAAAAATTTCGAAAACTTCATAGATCTGTCTTGTAAACAGCAACGACAAATAAGAAGAAATAGAAAGCATCATTCCCTCAACTTCAAGTCATATCCAATACTTTCCAAACAACAACAGCAAACATCATACTCCAGAATATGACATAAATATGTCAAATATATCCAAAACGCTAGGCAAAATATGAAATGCAAAAGTCAACTATGCTTAAAATAGTAAAAGACCATTATACGTCCATTTCCATTGAGCTTTAAGAATGCAAATGCAAGAGATTTATCATTCAAGAGTCAATTACGAAGAAAGTAAAACTTAAATAGATGCGAAAATTAAATTCTAAAAAAAAAAAAAATCAAATGAACTACTAAATTTAAATTCAAGTTATTTTTCCAGCATCAGGTCACAGTTTCATACTTGCCAAAGTAATGTTCTCTAAATAAATAGATAGATTAGAAAATCAAACAAATCCACAGACAAAAAAAAAACCGACAATCAAAGTTCACCAAAATAAATAAATAAAAGCGTACCATCCTGAGTAACCAGCGGATAATCCATTGCACTCAAAGACACAAACCAAGTCCAACCTGCATCCATCCTCAACAAAATGGCAGCAGCACGCAACATTGCAGCCAGATTAGAAGCACCCATATAGGTAAGTCTGCTAGGCTTCCCTACAACATCCACGTTCCCAAAACTCCTAATTGCAGGCACTGCATTTACCGCCCCAACAAGCCTCATTCTCTCCTCATCTGATGCCTCAGCACCCAAATGCAATAAATAACGGTTTCTTGGGTGATAAACTGCAAGCAATAGCCTAAGGATCCGGTCCCCATCACCCCTTCCACCTGAGATATAATATGCAAAAGCAGGAGGGTAGTGGATTCCATGGTGAATAATAGAAGGGAACTGTTTAGAGGAGCTGAAAGCAGAGATTGAATAGACTAAAAGAAACAGTAGAGAAAGAAATGTTGTGGAGAAGAGAGTGAAAAGCCATCTTTTCTCTGCTCCCATAATAATAATAATAATAATCCTAACAACACTACCAGTATTGAAGCTGCTCTTTGTTTTTGGTAATGGTGCATATGGTGGTGCAAATCAAATCTCAAGTTCAAAACTTGCAGCTAAATTTGAGGTCTAGAGAGGGAATAGAAAAATGGGTATGCATCAAAAGAAAGACTTTTTCACTCTATCTTCTGAGATTTGATGGCAAACAAAATATATATAGATGGGTATGAATCAATAAAGACAGAAACTTTATAGATAAATTTTGGGTTCTGAGGAAAACTAAAGAGATGGGGTATTGGTCAAATGTATATTATTGGATTGAATTTAGTGATTGAGAGAGATGAAATTGTTGGGATCTTGGTGAGAAGCTTTGAGTAATGAGGGAACATTGGTGCTAAATGGTGAAAAAATATAGAGCTAGAACTAGATCAGAAACAAACTGCGAAAAACATTATTTCTCACTCTATTTTAATACAGCCAACTCTATGGACTAACATTAATAAATATGCGAATCTTTTTCTCTCAACTCCAGTCTACCTCCTTATCTGAAGAGCTAGTAGGGTTAGGGTTTTCAGGTTGGATTTGTTTTCTTATGTGACGAACAGAAAGGAAAAATAGAGTTTTATTGTATGGATTGATTGTCTTCTCTGAAATTATTTGATTTTGATCAAATCAAAGAAAAAGGTTCAGTTTATAACTTTGCGTGTGAGTACAAAAGGTTGAGTAAATTATAAATTAGTCCCTTTCTCTTCGAAAAACTAATTAACTGGACATTCTAGTTTCAAAAATTAATTATTTAATTATTTTTATTATTTTTATTTAAAAAATAAAAAAAATATCAAAAATATTATAATCAAAAAGATATTTTGTAAAATTAAAAATATTAAATCATTCGTGATAGGATACTGAATAAAAAAAACTAAATAATTAAATTTTAAAATTAAAATAACTATTTGATTTATTTCCTAAAAAGAAAGTGACTAATTTATAATTTACTCACAAAAGGTTTCGGTGCAACCAATGTTTTTTTTTACTTTTACTCGTGGAGCGTGTTAATAACGCGCCACAAATGGAGAACATTTGGCTCTTTTGGGATATGAACCCTTCAGGTGTATCACGAGCTTCAAGAAATTTTGGCATTGAAGATTCAATGATATACTTTTTTATGTGGTAAACTACGTTTTATTTCCCCTTACTGATTCATTCGTATTCCATTTCTAACCATATAGTTTGAAGCTTCCCAATGTTACATTTATATATTTTAAAAACTTTTTTTTCTTTTTTCATTGTTCTTCCGTTAGGAGTATCCTTTTATATATGAAATTTTAGTGCTAGCTATTCACATTTAGAGAAGTACGTCTACAATAGATTTTTTTCTTTACCATCTTTTAAAAGAATCAAACTCTATAATAATGTGAGAAGCAAATTCAATTACCAACCAAACTTGTGAAGAAAAAATTGAAAAAACTTTTCTTCTTGTAAATATGGAACACAACCAATGTGCTTTAAGACGTTAGAGAATTATTCAGTACGAATTTAAATACAAACTACCCACCAAAAAAGACGAATGATTCTTCTCTTTTTCTTTTTTTTCCATATATTGTTATGTTTATTAATTGTGTTCACTCCTTAAAAAAATAGAAGTTAATAATAAAATGCACATGGAAGAGTATTTTTCTTTTTCGGCTACTGAATTAGGTTTTCAAAAATTCTTCACTAAGATAAAAAAGAAGTTTTTACTTGATAGCTAAAAAATAACTAGTACAAATCATGCAATTTGTCCGCATTTATCAACTCGAAAGACATGATTTTCATGAATAATAATATGAGAAGCAAACTCAATTACCAACAAAACAAAAATTGAAAAAAAAATCCTTTTCATGAAGGTGGAACACAACCAATGTTCTTTAAGGCACTAGAGAATTCTTCAGTATGAATTTAAATGCAAAATGCACACTAGAAAAGGCAAATAATTCTTATTATTTTTCTATTCACACATTGTTACGTTTTTTTTATAGTACATTATTTAGCATTGTTGGCATTTCTTTTATTACCTCATTGATATAAATAAAATCCTCACTTGACTGGACTTGGGTGATTAAAGTGTGTTCAAGAATTTAAATTTATGCTAAACTGGTAAATAGCTAACACAAAAAAAAAAAAAAAAAAAAACTCATTTTTTTCATAGCATTGTTTTATTTATTTATTTTTAACTTTTCTCTATTTTTATCGTCTTAAATCCCAACCCATGTAGTAATATCTCCGAAAATAAAAATAAAAGAGAGACTGAAAAATTAAAAAAAAAAAAGGAACTCTGAAAACTAAACAGAAAAGGTAGGCTACTTGATGGTTTGGTTAGGAGTTATGAAAGTAACTTTTTGAAAACGGGAAGGATAATATCGAAAAAATTTAAACTTAGGAGAAGCCTATCATTTACCCTTTTTTATTTAATTATTATTTGACGACCGACTAATTCTTCCTTCTTTGTTTTTGTTTTTTTAAGCTGTGTGGTTCGTCTTTGTTTGCGCGAGTAGGGAAACTGCTGTTTCGCTAATGGGTTTATTGGTTTGCATGTTTGAATAATAATGGGTGAGTGGAAATGGCCTGCGGGGTTGGTATTATTGCGAAAAGTCCAAATGAAAAAACAAAGGAGTGGAAGTAGGACAGACAATTTTAAAATTCAAACGTGAGGTGTCATATTACGCGATGTTTGGTAATGTTTGGTTTTACGTTGATTGCAAAATATTTGTGCCTAACTTAGTATTTTCATAAAGGAGACAAGGGTAATGTACTAATGGAAACCATTCCATTTATTCCATGTTGTACCCAACTAAAGCGAAGATCTATGATGACTACGACTGTGACTCCTATTGATTGAGATTACTAGCCTGTTTTTAGCAGTTTCCATTCTCCTAAGTCCTCCTATGTGTTAGGAAAACAGAAAAAATAATTGAGTTATTTTACAAGTTTTAAATGAACTGGCGATTTCCTCTCAATCTAACCAGAAGCAACCTTCTTATCTCATTGCACTTAAAACAATTTTAGTAAATTATTCTTTCATCTCTTAGTTTTTAAGGTAATTGTAACTTAGTCTTTTGATTTTTAAAAATCTACAGTTATACAGTTATATCCTTCATTTTAATTCTCTGTTTATAACTCAGTTTATATATATATATATAATGCATCATTCGGCATCCATTATAATTGACCAAAAATCTGTTAAAAATTCAACTTTTAATGTATTCAGATTAAAATTCTCAAATATACTAATAAAAAATTAATATACTTTCGAGAATAATTTTCACACTTTTTTGAGATCATGAAGTGTTTTTTGATTCTTCTTAACTATTTTTTTTTTATAAAGCTGTAAAAAATAAAAATTATTTGGAATGATCCCAAATTTTTTTGAGGATTCTAAAAAAACAGTGTATATTATTGCTCATTCGTCGTATAATTCTCAAAATATTTATATATGTGATTTATAAAATTAGCATATTTTAAATCTTGAGAGTTACACATTTGATTATGCAAATGTTTTGATATTCATGCTAAAAATAAACATATGAATAATGCATATGAATTTTTTGAAACCCCAACAAAAAATAAGATCATTATAAATTAATTATTTTTTATAATTAATAAATATGTGATGTTTATTATAAATTAAAAAAATCTTCATGATCTCAAAAAAAAAAAAAATTGAAAATAGATTGAATTTTTATTAACATATGTGAAAAATTTTAACTCAGAATATTAAAAATTAAAGTTTTCAAAGAGGCCTTTGGTCAATGATAACGAAAAAATAACAAAGCATTGCAAAAACGATTAAATTATAAACAAAGAATAAAAGATAAAGACGTAAAAACAGTTTTTTTAAAAACTAATGAACCTTACAATTGAATTGAAAAAACGAGGGATGAAAGAATAATCTGCTCGAATAATTTTCACAACTACTTCTACTTGTTATTACTGCTATTATTATTATTAATTGCCACGGGAGCATCACATTTTGTGGTAGTTGATTAGAAAAGGAAACGAGGATTTAAGCTGATAGAATTCCTTCCATTTAAAAAAATTCGTGCAAAGGTCGTGCTGAGTTGAGGACTGACTACATAGCTTAGCTAGATCTAGAAGTTGGGTGACCTAATAGTTAAAAACAACGAATAGGTAAATACTCCAATACCATGCAGCGGACCATGTTAGGTACAAAATTAAGTAATCTGATTAGCAATAAACTCAAGAAAAACAATTTTAGGTGGTTACCCATTTTTACACTTCATTCGTTCATTAATTCCTCTGTCAAAGAGGAATGACAAAAGCAAACCACAATGTTTGGAATGAATTTGCAGTTCATCTAATTCCTTGAAAAAGTAAAAATTAATCTAATTAAGAAAGTTTAGACATTATCCTTGAGAAAAGAGACTAAGAAAGTGTAACAAAAGAAAGTCTGTATTCTCAAGTTCTGTAGCTGAATTATTCGAAAAGGATTCTCGATTGAAAGATGGATGAAGACAATATGAAAACTGGTTTGAGCTACAATATGGTGTAAACTGGACTTTGCTTTTTCTTTTTTGAGTTTCAAACACGAAATTGATAAAAGTGACTTTGAATTCATTTGGACTCATGGATAATTTTTTATTAAAAAACAAAGAAAAGCCATGGGTACTGAAACAAGACTGCTGGGCTCCTCAGTTCCACCAAAAAATTGTATTTTAACAATCTGCGAGAAAGTAAATAGAATAATAGGAGTGATTGTGCAAGTTATGAATATTATTTCAGTATCCCACGAAGATATTCCAATGCAACTATCCCTCAAAAAGAAAAGGAAAAAAAAAACAAAAATGATAAAAATGAAACATTTTTGTACGGCAGGGATCTTCTACCAATCTTCCTTCCTTCAACATAACCTTTTATTAATTTCAAAATGAAAAAGAAAACGAGCATGCAGCAGTGATCTTCTGTCAATGATTTGTTTCTTCACTCCCACTGTCCCACATCACACCTTTTTCGTTTAATTTCAAAAATGAAAAGAGTTGGTAGATTAGCCCAGATATGCTATCCCAATAAGTTCTGAGCTCTCCTCCTCTCCTTCGTGACCAAAAGAAAGAAAAATGAAAGCAAAGCGATGGTATTTGTTGACCCACGAGCAAGGGATGTTTTCCATTTGATCAATAGGCAAAACGCATGTAATGCAAGAAATTACTAGGCCCAATGAGCTCATTACCTATTTTTCCATACCAATGCATTAATCTTGCTATATGGTAATGGTTCGGGCCAGATAACTGATTGCTTCAGCATCAGTGCCCCTGTTGCCCCGTTCCCCTCAGGATTCAGAAACATGAACTTCTACATCGTAAGATGATACAGTCACTTTGATCAGAGGGATCTCAACAGCTTAATATTTTTGGCAATTCCTTGTCAAACTTCACCATGATGTATTTCAACCGACTAAAAGAGTGAAATCCAAAATCACCCTTCGAAAAGTTCTTGGTACTTCAAATACATATCTTATCGTGTATTTTAAGCCTCGTTCAGAAAAAAAAAAAAAAAGATACAAGCTGTTTGCTTGATATTGGACATACAAAACCATGGTGGCATTATTGCATAATATAATGTATCCCATCAAAGGAAGGTAAACAAAATGCTCTCCCCCTCAAACCGGAATGGCTTATGTCTTCTTCTCTATCTAGGGATGATTTGTTAGTATCCATTTGGTAATTCTCTGATTGACTTCAGATGTTTATTGGGAGTTGTTTGAACTTTCAAATAGAGTTGACTGAATCTTCATCGCTGCCTTCACTGTCACTGCTGCTGCTGCTGCTGCTCCCACTCCCGCTGCCAGTTCCACTGCTTCCACTTCCACTGCTGCTACTAGAACTAGAAGTCTGCTCATTCTTCTCATCTGCATTTTTCTGGGCTCTAAGGGCTTCTGCAGCATTGAGACCCTTGTCTGCTTCATCACCACTATCGTCCACGTCAGCAATCTCATCATCAGTGTTGTTTTGCTGTGGTACATTGCTATCAAAGCCATCATCAACTTTTTCTTCAATTGCATTCCCATCATCAGGTGAGCCGGCACCAAAAATGTCCTCGATGTCTATATCTTGATGTTCTTCAACTTCATCATTCTTGGGGCTTGGTGAGGAAGTTGATACATTTGGTGGATGGGTTGGATGCTCAGTAATCCTCTTACTGGCAGCTTTTGCACCTATCGTTTGATGAGAGCATTATGATGCATGAAAACACACAACGAAAAGTAGAAGTGGCAGATAATGAGCAATGATTGAAAATTGTATAAGAATAATCAATGGAGCCCAGATTGTATTCTTGGATATACATTTTTTTAATAATGACTGGCCCTGCATATCATGCAATATTTTGATTCAGAGATCCTATCTAGCAGCATAAAAGCAAGATTTCAAATGAATTTTTCCCCTTATAATGCCACATCAAAGACATCCAGTCAACTTATACAGAGTATATTAGAGGAAATTAAGTACAAATTCACAAGCAAACAGCACCACAAGGCCATTGTGATATGATAACTAAAATCTGAATTAGAAAGTCTTATCGAGCAGACAATCTAAAACTAAGGTCACCTTAATTAGAAGAAATGCACAGTATATCCATCCTACTAGATAAACAGCAAATATAATATCGAATGATTAACTAAGGTTTGAACCGGAGATAGAAATTACTTCCGCAACTTATTAACTGTGTGTAACTGGATTTCATCGAGTCATTAAAGTTCGGTTTGTTTTTCTGATCCCTTTTATACTATCCACAACCGGATTGTGCCAATAAATTTTTGGTTTGTAGCCAAACCCGTGGTAAAATCAGGGAAAAACATGCACTTGAATCACGAAATCATATTCCAAATACCTGAAACCTGTGGCTCGCCCACATCAATCCGTTCCACCTCAACCTGTTCAAACAAAAAAGTGAAACATCAGCAAGGAAGCGGAGCAATAAAAAGGTTTGGATAACCACTTTAGAACAGCCGATGCAGAAATATAGCAAACGAACAAAGACTTATTAACAACAACCAATCCCCCATCCCGAACCAGTTCAGGTCAGTTATATGGATCCGGACGATCACCGTTATCACTAAATCAAAATAGCAACTCACCGGAACAGCAGAAAATGCATTTCGCCCAATCTGAACAGGTTTCGCACCCCTCCCGACTGAAGGAGACAACCCCGGCGCCTCCACAGCCGGCAGGGATTGAGCAGCCGCTGCCGCGGATTCACCAGGCAATCTTAGATGCCTGAGCTGCTTAACAGCACGGTGAAGGCGCTCCAATCGAAAAGTCTGGCCATCGAAAAACAGAACGGCATCGTTTTCTTTATAATCCTCGCTGCTACCTTCAAAAGTGACTTTCGGTTTGCCTAATTGATTATTCTGAAACTCAACCGAAACTCTATTGTCTTTATTCTTGTGGAATAATCCAGGCTTAGTTTTATCAATCGAAGCTGGCTTAAATTCGTATCGCAAAGTGCAGTACTTATTGGAGGATTGCTCTTTAAACGAAGGACCTAGGGTTAGATCGTACCACCGATCTGGTTGTGGAGCAGTTTTTGGTTCTTCTTTGGAATTATTGGCCATGTTTTGCTGACATGGCAAGATCTGTCTTCGTAAAATAGGTACCGTAAGTGCAGTACCGCTCTGCCTAGGCTAGCTCATGGAAGAGGAGAGTGTGTTTTTGTGTTGTAGGGTGTAGAGCTTTTTTTATTTATTTGTTTTTCGCTAAAGAAGAAGAAGAAGACAGAGACGGGTATTTCCCGAGAGGGTGTACATATTCGGTTGGGTTGGGAGCTTGTGGGGTCCGATTTGGGTAGGCAATGGTTGTGTGACACGTGGAAATAAGGTCGGTTGAGTTGGGGACTAAGATGTGACGTGGATTGAAGGATGTGGTCATGTGTTCTAAAGCGAACCTGTCGCAGTCGATCGACTTCGCGGGCGCATGCGAGCGAGAACGGACGACGATGGATCGAGGTCATGGAGGACTTTTCCGCACGTGCCGTAATTTTTTTTCCCGTGAAAAAAACCTTGTGCGTCGATGTGCTTGGGGCACTGGCCGAGTAGCTGGCATTAACAAGGGTTTGTCGTGGTATTTTCTTAAGTTAGCTGGTTAAAAACTACCTCGAATTTTTTGTTCTACATGAAATTAGTCTCTAATCTTTTTTTTAATTTGATTTAGATCTCAAATCATTTTTTTTTTTGCACAATGTTATCCTTTCGTTAGTATTCCATCCAACCATTAAATTTGACCGCAATTAAAACATAACACGTGTTGTATGCGATTGATTTTAAAATAAAAAATTAAAACCATAAAAAAATTCATTAAAAAAATCAAATCAAGTGATTATATCATATTTATTTGTACTCAAAAAGTTAAAAAATATTACTTAAATTGATATAAGTAAAGTAACAATTTTTTCTCGATCTCAACCCATCAATCATAAATTAACACCATTGGCTACTGCATTCGAAATCAATTGTCATCTATTCCAAATTCATCTCTCTCGTCTTCTTTACTTATCCACGGTTAAGAATTTATTAATGATTTAATAATTCAATTTTGAAACAAAGAACAAAACTCGTCAAGATTAATTCAATCTATTGTCTTATCTCTTAATAAAAACACAAAAATCAACACCGATTGAAAAAAAGGTTATGAAATGTTTCGCTGTCAACATTCTTTAACCATGAAAGAAGACAATGCGTCGATGTTTGATTCATGTTGCGGCAGCATAGTATATGTTATTGGTGGCTTTACTTGATCTGATAGTTGAACAACTCTAATTAGCGATGGTGGTTGTTTATATTTGTTGTAACAATATTAGTTTAGGTTAGTATTAATGGAGTTTTAGATCTGTAATTGTACTATATGTTGTTGATGATTGTGGTGGTATAGTGGTTTCATGGTGAAATTGTTGGAGTTTTTGTGGTTTTCCTTTTCTAAGCTTGTTTCTTGAGATTTTTTAGAAAGATGGTGATAGAGATAGAAGGCTTGAAAAGTTGCAATCATCACGAGATTGTTTTTTATTATTATTATTATTCCTTTAAAAAATTTTGTTTTAATTTTGAAAATCAAGGTAAGAAGATTTCCATAACAATTTTTATGGAATAACAAGCAAGAACCAATATTGATTTTTCTTCTTTCTACTTTTTATAATTTATAATTTTTATAATTTTTTTTTTCATTTAAGATCACGTGATAGAGAGTATGTTTGAGCACATGTTTCTAATTATCAGTGAGCCACATGAGTGCATATATTGTCAAAAAAATAAAATATCTGGATAGAATCTTAACAAATGGTCGACATTATGGGAAAAAAAAAAAGATTTAGGATCTAAATCAATTTTTTTAAAAAAAAAGTCAGGAAGTAAGTTCATGCTAACTGAAAATTCATAGTAGTTTTAAACTAGTTAGCTTTTTTTTTATGAATAAAATAGATTTTTAATACAAATCCTGTTATTATTATTCCATTAGGTTAATTATATATATATATATATCATGAACCAGTTCACAATCAATATGTAGCTACTAGCCATTCAAATTTTGACCTTTAAAATCTTGCAAATTTTTCTTCAAATGTTTTTGAATAAATAAAATAAAAAAAAAAACCTTTTATCTTCTGATCCTCTAATGTTATGCTTTTTTTTTTTTTTTTTCACTTAGTTCACAAAACCTTGTGTCTTCGTATGTATCTTTTCTTTTATGCATACATGATTTATAATTTATTCGTTTCTCTTTCTTCTTTTATCTTCTAATGTTTTATGATAGTAATCTTTATTTTATGATTGTTTATTCAATTTTATTTTATGTTTTTCATTACAAACAAGGCTTAAAGTTCAAACAATAACCAGCACAAAACATAACCAATTATATATATATTACTTTATAAATTTTCTTATATTAACAAAATTCTTCATTGAGCGTTGACTGATAAAATGTAGTAATACAATATCTCGTGACAAAAACCAATGCCTTTGTAACCAATCTATTTACAAAACAATAAGCTTTCCTATACGAGTCATATTGTTTTTAGATAATAATAGGTCAGAGGTGGAGAATGACCACAACAAGGTCTTAAGATTGTTTTCGTTTGTTTGTTTTAAGAAGACAATTTCATTAAGAGTAAAATAAACTTTAGTCCTTGTATTTTTATGATTTTGTATGTTAGTCCTTTTACTTTTTGAAAATCATAATTTAATCCATTAATCAAAGTTGACTGTTATTTTTTTTAATTTCTACATCACTATTTTTAAACGCATGTTTAATTTTACTATATAGTGGATAAGATTAGAAAATTTGATTATAAACGAAGGATATCTTAGACAAAAAAATTAATTCGGTTGTGACAAGAAACCAACAAAAAAATATAAATTACAATCAAATATAAAAACATAGGGACTTAGTGTTGGATTTTTATTTTTTTTTAACAAAGGGATTAATTAATTTTTTTCATTAAAAACACATGGATCAAATAATAATTTATTATTATATTAAGCGTAACCCAAATAGAACTTGCGGAGTTAGTTTGTGGTAGTATGCTTTCCTTTTTTCCCATGCACTTAAGTTTCGTTTAGTTATTAAGAATGAAAGATTCGGAATGAAAATGTAGAAATCAGAATGACATTTGTATTTTTATATTGTTTTTGAAATAATAATAATGAATGAGGATAAAATTTAAAATCTTCAATGTTTAGTTTTTAAGATAAATAAACATAATGATAAAAAATTATTTCATCAACTATGATGATGATGAATATAATAGAGGTAACTATGGCGATAGTTGTGGATGAGAAGAATGAGGTGGTGGTGATTGTAATACTAGTATAATAATAGAAACTATATTTTTTAAAAAAAATTGATGTTATCAATCATTACGAGTGGCAGTGGAAGAATAATGATGGTATTAGTATAATAAAAGTTATGATGGTGATGGATAAAGAATGATAGCAAATTAATAATAATATATATTTTTTCAAATTTTTTACATCACCACCACCAATGGTAGTGTTGGTGGCAATATCGACGATAATATAATAAAAATGATAGTGGTGATGGTGGTAGTATAATAATAATAACAATAATAATATTTTTTAATTTCTTTTTTTTATCATGACGGTGGCGAGAGAAGGTGTGGAGGTAATGGTGATAGCTAGTATAAATAACTTATACACGATAAATAAAAATAATATATCGCTATTTTGAAAAATAATAATTTATTTATATGCTTTATTTTTATTCTCATCTCCTCTATGGGAATGAAACTACTCTCATTTTCACTATTTATTTTCATTTTCAATTTATTTCTTTCATCCAAATACTTAAAAAGTGAAAACAAAATTTTTATTTTTATTTCAATCATTTCATTTATCGTTACAAAGCATCACGTTAAAGCATTATTACATGTATACTTGGAAAAAAACAAAACAAAACAAAGCAAACAATAGATATACAAATTTAATTTTGTCACCTGTATATAAGAAGAAGATGTACAACTAAGAAACTTGCGTACAATATAAGAGAACTTCGCAAATTTTGGCAAGCTCGAGTATGTCAAAACCATCCGAGTGATGATTTATCACTACAAAAAAATATAGAATTAGCTACGGTCTAGACCGTCGCTAATTCGGCAAAATCTGTCGCTAATTATAATTAGTGACGATTTTGCGACGGCTAAAAAATTATCGGTAAAATGCTAGTTGTTATATTTTTGCGACGGTTTTTAGACGATTGCAAAAAATAGTAGTAGAAGCAAGGAAAATTTGTAATGGTAAACAAAACCGACGCTAATATTTGAAATTAGCGACGGTCTAATTCCATCGTAAAAAAATTAGTGACGACCGAAAACCGTTGCTAAAATTTGAAATTAGCGACGGTCTAATTCCGTCGCAAAAAAATTAGTGACGGTCTAAAATATATATATATATTTTTAACCCTCATTTTAAATTAACCAATTGCTAATTCCGTCACAAAAAAAATAGCGATGGTCTAGACCGTCCCTAAAATATTATTATTATTATTATTCACTCTCATTTTAAATTAACCAATTGCTATTTAAAAGTCTACAAAATACCCAAAACATAATATTTTATAATTTTATAATTTTTATTATAAAATTTATTAAAATGTAATAAATATTATTCTATTATTAAATTCTTGAAAAAAGTAGAAATTTTGTTATTATTAAAGTTTCTTGAATAAACTTAATTACTAATTAATTTCTTAATTACTAAATATAATTTGCAAAAAAAATTACTTTTTTAATCACTACTTAATTTCGTAATTAATTAATTCCTTTACTTAATCAACAACTAAATAAACTTAATTACCAATTAATTTTTTAATTATTAAATAAAATTTCAAAATTAATTAATTTTTTAATTACTTAACTCCTTTACTTAATCAACAACTAAATAAACTTAATTACTAATTGATTTTTTAATTACTAAATATAATTTCAAAAATTATTAATTTTTTAATGACTAACTATTTTTTAATTACTAAAAATTTTAAATATTTCTAATAACTTATTAACAATTTTCTAAAATAATTAACTTTCCAAAATACCATCAATTAAACTAATTAA